GAGACTTTGAGACCAAAGATTTCATTTTGTACTTGTTACGGTTTGAGGGAATTCTATAAAGATTGTATATTGCGTATGTACACGGTCATCGTGTTGCCTAGACGTTGCTGACGTTCTCTTTGCAACACAGGGGTTTGCTTGGTTACCAGATGCCCTAAAAGGGAAATCCACAGGCAAGACTCGAACACAAGATCCAACTCTCCCCTCCTGTGGTTTCCAGCACCTGGTATTCAGAAGCATGGCTGCCTCTGACCAGGGAGGGAAAGCGGAGCAAAGCCATCGTGGTTATTAGCCCTCCATAGCCCTCCTTTCCTCCGTGTGAATTTGTCTCATCCTCTTTTAAAGCCATCCAGGTTGGCGGCCATGGCTGCCTCCAGTGGCAGGGAGTTCCACAGGAAGGAGGACTCTCATTTATCTGTCCTGAATCTTCCAGCATTCAGCTTCATGGCACACCCAGGCGTCCTAGTGCTACAAGGGAAAGACTTTTCCCTGTCCAGGTTCACAGAGTGTGGCGCTTGGATGCCGGGGGGGGGGGCAGAGAGGGGGCTCAGCCAAGCTGAGAAACTTCTCCCCCCCCCAAAAAAAATATTGCTAGTTTTGGTCGCTCTGTGAGCAGGAGCTGTTGAGACGCTGTTCCAGCTGCAGGGGCTGATCCTGACAGCCTCCAATGGAGCCATCTCAGCCGGGTGTGCAAAATTGAATGTGAGGCGGATGTTATGAAATGGGAGCTGAGTCTGGCAGAACGAGAGGCCAGCGGGGCAGAGAGAGAGAGAGAGATGGGGGTGTCGTCTCCTCCGAAGGGGAGGGTGCAGGATCAGGCCGAGGGACAGATGTCACTCTGGATCAGACAGGACCGGGGCTGACTTCACGGATGTTTGTGCTTTTGTCAAGACGTGGCCCCAGGCTGCTTCAGGAGAAGAAGCATAGAATCATAGAAGTGTGGAGGGACCCTGGGGTCATCTAGTCCAACCCCCGAAATGCTCTGCCAGCATCAGCAGGAGTTAAACTGTGGAACTCTCTCCCTCAGGAGGCACGGAGGGCAACCAACCTGCACGGCTTTAAACTGGGCAAACTGGTTATAAGGCACACAGCCCAGCTGGGGGGAAGATTCCCAGTGGCTCTCGTGGCTCAAACAATCAAAATCAAGAGGGGAACGCGTGTGCATTTTTGCTTTGATCAAACAAAACAAGCAGGCAGACAATAGTTCCTGTTTGGAGAACGTTCCGCCGAAGTCGTTCTCTTCAGAATGAGTCCGCCTCTTGCCTTCTCATTCAAGTTAGCCCTTCATCCTCCAGCGCCATGGGGACTAGCACCTTCATCTTTAAGGGGAGCTCTGCAGTGCAGAAGCAGAGCGCCTGGTTTGAATGCAGAAGGTCCCAGGTTCCATCCCTGGATAGGGCTGGGGAAAGACCCCTCTTCTGAAATGCCGGAGTGTGGCTAACCGGTCTGTGTAGACAAAGCAGTATAAACTATACTATAAGACTCCCTTTTTCCCTCCTAAAAAGTAAGGGGGAAATGTGTGTGCGTCTTATAGAGCGAATGCAGGCTGCGCAGCTATCCCAGAAGCCAGAACAGCAAGAGGGATCGCTGCTTTCACTGCACAGCGATCCCTCTTGCTGATCTGGCTTCTGAGATTCAGAATATTTTTTTACTTGTTTTCCTCCTCCAAAAACTAGGTGCATCTTGTGGTCTGGTGCGTCTTATAGAGTGAAAAATACGGTACTTTGAGGATTAAAACACCAACAGCAACAATCCAGCCTCATACGTATTTTATGAAATAAATAAACCAAAGGATTATTAAAAGGCAGGTTCCGATGTTCTCCTTTAAATCAGCCCTTCATGAGGACTAGAATCTTCATTTTCAGGGGAAGGGCGGCAGCCCAGTGGGAGAGCACTTAACTTTGCCAAAGGAAAGCCATCCGCTTCAATCCCCGGCAATATTTCCAGGTTTGGGGGGAAGGAGGACACACTCCCTGCCCGAACCCCCGAGAGCCGCTGCTGCCGGTCAGTGCAGACAGCCCTGGGCCAGGTGGAGCAGTCGTCTGGTTCAGCCTGAAGCAGCTGCCCCCACCCTCTCCCTTAAATCAGCTGCAGGGCTGTTGTGACCTTATGTGTGATCTTTGTCACGCATACCATATTTTTTGCTCTATAAGACTCCTTTTTCCCTCCTAAAAAGTAAGGGGAAGCGTGTGTGCGTCTTATGGAGCGAATGCAGGCTGCGCAGCTATGCCAGAAGCCAGAACAGCAAGAGGGATCGCTGCTTTCACTGCACAGCGATCCCTCTTGCTGTTCTGGCTTCTGAGAACTAGGTGCGTCTTGTGGTCTGGTGCGTCTTATAGAGCGAAAAATACGGTAATTTGGGATTTGTGACATCTTTCTGCAGGTCCTGCAAGACAGGGCTGCTCCGCCTGGCCTTTGGGCTGCACTCAGTCTGACACACACCTCTATCTATCTATCTATCTATCTATCTATCTATCTATCTTCTATCTATTTTCCTGATGGAACCCCTATATGGGATTAGTATATAACTTTTCCCTCGGCTCTTTTTGCTGTCTCATGTAGGACCAGCATGGATAGTTGGCCCCAGTGAATATGTGACATTTTCTCCCCTTATGGCTTTGATCTATATTGTTGTTTAGTCGTTTAGTCGCCTCTTCGTGACCCCCTGGACCAGAGCACGCCAGGCCCTCCTGTCTTCCACTGCCTCCCTCATGCTGGTAGCTTCGGGAACACTGTCCCACCATCTCGTCCTCTGTCGTCCCCTTCTCCTTGCGCCCTCCATCTTTCCCAACATCAAGGGTCTTTTCCAGGGAGTCTTCTCTTCTCAGGAGGTGGCCAAAGTCTTGGAGCCTCAGCTTCAGGATCTGTCCTTCCAGTGAGCACTCAGGGCTGATTTCCTTCAGAATGGAGAGGTTGGATCTTCTTGCAGTCCATGGGACTCTCAAGAGTCTCCTCCAGCACCATAACTCAAAAGCATCCATTCTTCAGCAATCAGCCTTCTTGATGGTCCAGCTCTCACTTCCATACATCACTACTGGGAAAACCAGAGCTTTAACTATACTGAACTTTGTTGGAAAGGTGATGTCTCTGCTTTTTAAGATGCTGTCTAGGTTTGTCATTGCTTTTCTCCCAAGAAGCAGGCGTCTTTTAATTTTGTGGCTGCTGTCACCATCTGCAGTGATCATGGAGCCCAAGAAAGTAAAATCTCTCACTGAGGCGGGGGTATAAATAAAAATTTTATTATTATTATTATTATTATTATTATTATTATTATTATTATTATTATCAGCAGCCAGGGGGGCTCCAGCCCACCAGAGTTTGCACAGCATCGCCTCGAGAAAACGTTGCAGTGGATGGGAAGGGGGGGGGACTTTTGGAAAGATGTCTGCAGCCGGAACCCAGAAAGAGCATCGCCACCAGCCTTTTGCTCGCGGTTTCACTCGGTTACATAAGAGCAAGTGGAAAATAGACGGGCGCCGAATACCCAGTTTTATGGCGCCACCTGCTGGCGCAAAGGGGAGAGGCTGAAGGATTCCCTGTAAGGTCTGTGATTTCCAGACTTCCCTGAGAAGAGAGGCTGGTGGTTGGGCCAGTCTGGGAATTGTGTCTCTGGGAGGAGGAAGAGAGGATCTCCCCCAACAGCTCTCAGCACCCTGAAGAAACTATAACTCCCAGGATGCTGTGGGGGAAGACGTGTGTGTTTAAAGTGGGGGGGGGGCTAGTTTAAATGTAGGCCCTGTATGCATTTAAGGCCGTATCAACCCACTTTTAAAAGCTTTGGGTAAAATTTAGTTGCTTAAGCCTCACAATGAACACCTCTAAAATAGCCAACAGGAAAATGTAACAAGCAGGAAGGGTTAGGAGTCATTGGGAGGCTTCTTCTCCCCCTCCTCCTCCTCCTCCTCTGCAAATTTATCTATTCCTCTTTTTAAACTACCTCATCTGCCATAGGACTGGCAATACACACTGAAAACATGTTTCATTCCTTCTTCGCTTGACTCCCCTATGGGGAACGGCATCTTCAGGCAATGCAGAGCTAAACTTTGGAACTCCTTGCCACCGGAGGCAGTGACAGCCACCAAGCGAGATGGCTTTAAGAGAGGAGAAGACACATTCCCAAAGGCTGTTAATGGCTACTAGCCAGCAGATCTAAGCTTCACATCCATAGTTGGAGGCTGCAATGGTTCCCAGTTGCCGAAAACCACAGGAGGGAAGAGGGCTCTCGTGTGCAAATCATGTTTGTGAGTTTTCCATAATAAGCATCTGAATGGCCACTGTAAGAACTGGTCACTGGGAGTGGCTGCCGAGACCACATAACACCAGTCCTGAAAGACCTTCATTGGCTCCCAGTACGTTTCCAAGCACAATTCAAAGTGTTGGTGCTGACCTTGAAAGCCCTAAACGGCCTCGGTCCTGTATACCTGAAGGAGCATCTACACCCCCATTGTTCAGCCCAGACACTGAGGTCCAGCTCCGAGGGTCTTCTGGCGGTTCCCTCACTGAGAGAAGTCAAGTTACAGGGAACCAGGCAGAGGGCCTTCTCGGTGGTGGCACCCATCCTGTGGAATGCCTTCCCATCAGATGTCAAAGAGAACAACTACTACCAGACTTCTGAAGGCAGCCCTGTTTAGGGAAGCTTTTAATGTTTGATGTATTGCTGTATTTTAATATTTTGTTGGAAGCTGCCTAGAGTGGCTGGGGAAGCCCAGCCAGAAGGGCGGGGTATAAATAAATAATTATTATTATTATTATTATTATTATTATTATTATTATTATTATTGATGCTGGACTAGATGGGCACCCCTGGGCCTGACCCAGCACACCCAGGCTCTTCTTATCTTCAGGTGTAGAGGAAGTCTACCTAGATTCTTAGGTTCTTATGGGTACCTGCCCACCGTGAGAACAGGACGCTGGCCTGGCTGGGCTCTTTAGATGTTCTGGTGTCAGTCCTCCCATCTCACCCCGTCCTCTTTTCCTTTTCTCCTCTCCCTGCCGGCCAGATGACGTCGTCCACCAAGGTGTACTACAGCCAGACGACGCAGACCGACAGCCGGCCCCTGATTGGCTCCACCCTGCGCAAGAGGCGGGTCATGACGAAGGACGGGAGAAGCAATGTCCGCATGGAGCACATCGCGGACAAGAGGTTCCTCTACCTGAAGGACCTGTGGACGACCTTCATCGACATGCAGTGGCGCTACAAGCTGCTCCTCTTCTCCGCTTCCTTTGCGGGGACGTGGTTCATCTTTGGGGTGATCTGGTACCTGGTGGCCGTGCTGCACGGGGACCTCCTGGAATTCGACCCTCCCGCCAACCACACCCCGTGCGTCATGCAAGTCCACACCCTCACCGGGGCCTTCCTCTTCTCCCTGGAGTCCCAGACCACCATCGGCTACGGCTTCCGCTACATCAGCGAGGAGTGCCCGCTGGCCATCGTCCTGCTCATCAGCCAGCTGGTCCTCACCACCATCATGGAGATCTTCATCACCGGCACCTTCCTGGCCAAGATCGCCCGTCCCAAGAAGAGGGCAGAGACCATCAAGTTCAGCCAGAACGCCGTGGTGGCGCAGCACGACGGCAAGACCTGCTTGATGATCCGGGTGGCCAACATGAGGAAGAGCCTCCTCATCGGGTGCCAGGTGACCGGCAAACTCCTCCAGACCTACCTCACCAAAGAAGGTGAGAACATTCGGCTCAACCAGGTCAACGTGGATTTCCAGGTGGACACGTCCTCCGACAGCCCCTTCCTCATCCTGCCCCTGACCTTCTACCACGTGGTGAACGAGAGCAGCCCCTTCCGGGACATGGCCTTGCGCACCGGGGAAGGAGACTTTGAGCTGGTGGTCATCCTCAGCGGCACCGTGGAGTCCACCAGCGCCACGTGCCAAGTCCGGACCTCCTACCTCCCCGAGGAGATCCTCTGGGGCTACGAGTTCACCCCGGTCATCTCCCTCTCGGCCAGCGGGAAATACGTGGCCGATTTCAGCCTCTTTGAGCAGGTGATCAAAGTGGCGCCCCCTTGCTGCCTTCACGAGACGGTGCGGTACGGGGACCCCGAGAAACTGAAGCTAGAGGAATCCTTTCGGGAGAAAGCAGAGAGGGAAGGGACCCCCTTGAGCGTCCGGATCAGCAACGTTTGACCCTTCAGAGGACTTGGGAGGCCTGTGTTATACGAGTATTGCATCCGAGTGTCTTCATTAGCTTCCAGACTTCCTTACACCCTTCTTTCTGTGGCTGCATTTTCTCTCTCTCAAACTACAGGATGAGCAATCTGTTCTTCTCTTTAGGAATCTGCTAAAGGAACGCAAAGGTCAGCTCCCCTACTGACTCAGCAGCTCACAGTTAGCGCCAGAATTCAAGGTCTCCTCCGTGGTTTTGACCAACTGCTGGAAGTATATATCTCTTTAATTGTGTTTCTTTCTTAAATACAAATAATTGTGCGGTCATTGTTCAGGGGGCCACCAGGTCATGGTTTTTAATAGGAGGCAGAGGCACACGTACCAGCAACTCTATTGTGTCGAATGCTTTTTAAAATATAAATACATGGAGTTTTCTTTCTCTTTTTGCCTTGGAAACTCTTACCACAAAGATTAGCTTTTAATGCCAACCTAACCTGAAAGATACTGACGGATGCATGAGAAAGGGAAACACAAAGATTGGGACAGAGCACTGGGAGTGCCCCACCGCACCAGGCTCCGTGAAATGGAGGGTGTAAATCCTACTAGCGCATACTGTGCAAATTAATATTCTGTTGTGGTCACCACGGGATACCTCAGATGAAGCTGGAGGACACATTCACAGCAGGTGTGCCTGGCAATCTGCATTCAACAAACCCACCAGACCTCAACGATTTGCAATTCAGAAGCAGCCCTTCGAAGTTTGGAAACACACCCCAGCACCTGATATTTAATGCACAGGTGTCGTATGACAAAGCAGTACCTTAAGAATTATTGTGTGACCTCCAATCTGGAGGTCTGATGACTCGTTACAAAGCACACCCACCCACCCACTTTTTTAAAAATTCAAAATGCATCCTCCCTGATCTTAAAATACGGAGGTGGAAAGGGACGACATGCAGATTTCGTTTGAAAGCTTTGTGAGAATTGGAACTTGAATGTCTGTCCATTCGTAAACTTGTGCTGCAGTGCGAGAGGAATGTCCTGTTAACAAACTGGAATGTGTTGTCATGATCCTTGTTTTTCAATGCTAGAAAGCTTTCAGTCCCGGGACTACAGAAGGATCGATGACTCTTTAGCTACCCAACAGCCTAGGGAGCCTATGTTGAAAACACCAAGCGGAATGCAGGTAGAGTCCGAAAAGAATGCAGGTGTTTCTGTCTCCTGAATCCTGCTCCTTAAAGCAACAGGTGAACCTCTGATCACAACAGACCTGCTGTACTTGCTGTTATTATTACTGTAAATTCTCAACATCAAAAATGCTGAACTTTGGAGCCAAGGAGATGAGTAGAAAGAAGACCTTGTAGAGAACATATTTATCCTTTTATCCGTGGCATTTCCCAACTGAGCGGAGAAAGGACTGTGTGTGTGTGTTGAGATGAAGCTAGCCTAGTGAAAAGGAACGAGGCCAGTGTTGTCTGTCTGTGATGGGACACACAAAAAAAGTGTACCAATCTGAAGGCTGGTCTGACAGACAGACAGTTCCTATTGAAAGACCTGCCCCACAGGCCTTGCATCTTTGTAAAGCTAACACACTCGCAAAATTGGCTTTTAACACAGATCCATCAGAACGCAGCTCTCAAGCGCTTTTGCTTATTTTAAGTGCAGGGCGAATCTCCCAGCGAACGGAACTGACAGCAAATCCCCAAAAGGTTCTGTGGAGTTAGCTCGCTTCTGCACAGCCCTGTTTATTGAGCACTCATCCTGATCTGTTTGCAGGGAGGTCAGATGCCGCTGCGTCACAGCAAATGTCATCCTGCGCTCTCCATGGATTTCCCCCTCACTTTCCTTCCTGCGAAAAAGCCTGATCTTTGGGGGAAGGGGGTTAGTCAGACGAGACTCTAATTGAGCAACTGGAATTTCCCAATATGTGATCGGATTCCCACCCGAAAACATGTGCCCGTCTGGAAGCAGACTCAGAGGCAAAGGTCAATCATAAGACTTGTGAACCCAGGAACCACCTCATCACCAGGCTAAAGTGGAAGAAGATTTTCCAGGGAGGATGAGATACTGTTTGCTGCTTTTCTGTGGCCAGTCAGGTCTCTGTTGTCATTGCAGCTGAAAGGAGCCTTCCAGCGGAAAGGAAGGAGCTGGATTTTGGGGGCTTGGGGGGGTGGCGGTAGGGGGCCAATGATTTTTTTTAATCTCCCAGAGCCCTCCAAGGCTGTCTGAAGTTGGGGTGTGTGGGTGGGGAGACCCACAGCTGTGCAGAAACTGTCCCAAACAGCTACTTCTGGCTAGATCAAATAGCATTGTGGGTTGTGGGGGTGGAGGAGTTTGAGGGCGGCTATTGGCTCGTTTTTTTAGGAGTCGGATCGTCACGGGCCTAAGATGGTTTCTTACAGGTACGAATTCTAAAACGGTTGTCACACACATCAAAAAAGAGGGAGTCACTTCCTCTTCGTAGAAAGAAAAGTATCTATTGAAATATATAAATCTATTTATATAAATGAGATATATATAGTTATTTGTAAAAGAGAGAGTGTTTGTGTCATGGAGCTATTTTGCACTTTGTCGGAAAGAAGTTGGGTTCAAAAATTGCTATCGGAGCCAAAAAGAAAAATGGAGGAAGGAAGAAAATCCAAGATGTTCCAGGCATCTTTCCTTTCGTTCCTTCCTTCCTAAATTCTACTGTGCCCAGTGTGGAAATTCCCACCCCATTCTCTGAAATGAGTCACTGATATTTCTGCAATGGGAGTGGGGAGGGGAGATTGTTTAAATTGGGGTTTAAGCAAAGTTGGCCCAAAATGTTTTACTGTTGAGCAAAGGGTGATTCCATCAATTCTGCATTACGGAGCGGGGGGTGGACTAGATGTCCTTTGGTGTTCCTTCCAACTCTACTACTCTGTGATTCCATGAACAAAAGCCAAGAGGAAGGGCAGTTGACCCTTTCTTCAAGGCTGGCAAGGGGTCCCACGGAGGAGGGCAGCCTAGCTTAGGGGCTGCAAGACCTGGCTGTGTGGCACACACCCCGTTCGCCTCTCCAGCGGGTGATGTTGGAGAATCCCAAGGAAAACGTTCCCTTGTGTCCAGAACAAAAATCAATCTGGCAAATACAATTGAGATTCACTGTTGTTTTCACTCCACAAACATTTATGCAGATGATGCCCTTCCCAGTTCACAGTACTTTTTCTTGCATTGATACAAACAGGGTGGAATAACAAGGCCATCGATTAATTACATAGATTATGTCATTTCTCCGTGGTGAAATGAATGTTGGGATTCCTGCATCACAAGGGATTGGACTGAAGCAGAGCTGGCCGTGACCCACAGATGAAATTCCATAGTTACAATGGGTGTGATGTGGTTTGAATGAGGAATCTCCCCCCCCCCCTGCTCTGCCACAAGTTGCACCCGGGTTTTGAAGGCAACGGCTGGCAAAGCCCAACTTTTGCAAGGAAGCGTCACCCCAGCGCCATCGTGCAATTATTTTTGACTCATCCTTTCAGTGCAGTGATGCAACCCCACAGGGAGCTGTGTCATACATGGGGCCATGATACTCCATCTCCCACTGCATGTTTTCCTGGCCACGAAACAAAGGGTCCATCTGTCTGATAAGCTGTTCTGTAGAGACGCTGTCGTATGGACTTGCCCTGAGTTCAGATCCCGCTTCAAGAAGTGACCTGGATCAAGGGCCAATGATTGAGCCTGAGCTCCTGGTCTTTAAAATACATTGCATTTCCTCCCTTGTCATTGAAATACGAGAATCCAGCATGGAGAAGCCATCAGTTCCACGATTCCCAAATAAGTGAACTGTGGTGGAGTGTGTGTGTGTGTGTGTGTGTGAGAGAGAGAGAGAGAGAGAGAGAGAGAGAGATTTAGGAGGATCACAAGAATCTGATTAATTCAGGCACAATGGATTCCCACCACAATTGGTCATTGATGAGATACAGAATGTAGTCAGGAGATGCTCCCAGAAGGGCTTTAATAATGGGATCAGCTTTCAGGGTTGTGTTTTTTTGCAGGGTCCATATGGCAATGCCATCAAAATGCCAACGCATATCCCCAAACACACATTAATCTGGATTTTCCTTTTCAGGGGGAAATCTGGCAAATTAAAAAACCTGTTGCCAATGACCTGGTTGTGATACCTCAACCACCTGTTTACAGGTGATTAAGACCCCATTTGAGAGTCGGTGGTACTGTATTGAGTGCAGGACGAGGAGCTGGGTTCGAATCCCCACAATGGGCCATGAAACTGACCGGGTGTCACCTTGTGAGCCAGTCCCTGTTTCTCTCAGCCTAGCCTACCTCACAGGGTCGTTGTGAGGGTTAAACAAGGAGGGAGTGAACCACGTGGAGTAGAAATGCCAGAAATAAATAAATGCGTATAATAGCACCCTTTCAGAGTACAATATTTACCAAAAAATTAATATTAATAACCCCTATTTGCCATTTTCCTATTAGCAAGAAAAGGCTGTGGGTATGTTTAACTAAGCATGTATTAAAAGACTCTCAACCCCTAGAAAAAAGGGGGGATCTTTAGCGCTGGCTGGCTGGCAACTCAAGCAAACCATGGCATTAATTTCTCAACTATTGATGGCTGGGTGTTTGTGGGGCTGAAGGTGGTCAAACAGGCCAAATACGTCTTGATAACGGAACTGAGCTTCGTGTTAACTTGATTTTTTGTTGTTGTTGTTAAAGAAAGAGACTTTATTTTGTGCCTGACATAATTACGTACTGTACTTCATAAATATGAAGATTTGTATCCACCGAAGAAGACTTTGCACTAAAAAGAAAAGGTCCAATTTTTTTGGGGGGGGGGATGAGGGGGTAAGCGAGCGAGAGAGAGAGACAGGGAGCTGTGTTCTTTCTTCTGTTTAGAACAAAGTCATTCAATAACAATAAAAAGAAATCAGATTTTAAAGTGTGTGTTGTTTTAATGGATGGCGACGTGGTCAGTCCACTCCTAATTTAGCTGCGATTCCTGCACTGCAGCCAGGGGGTGGACCAGATGCCTCTGGGAGCCCCTTCCAACTCCACAGTTCTGTGATTCTACACGTGCATCTTTGTTCAGTGACTAACAGGTGCAAAACCAGGAGTATTTTGAGTGTGTTGATCCCTCTTCTCTCCAGGGAGAGGAGTAAAAAGGGCCATCTGCCTAAAACTCTCCCTTTCTCTCTCCGGACCAGAGCACCTCTGGAAATGCCACTGGGTGGCACTGGCTGACCTCACCAGTGTCGCCAAAGCGCTTGTGACCCTCTTCCCTGATGCAACGTGAAAAAAGGAATCCAAATTGCACTTTGTAGATCTGCAAAGGGGTCTGCAATGTGAAGAAAGGTTAGGGCACTGAGAGAGAGAGTGAGTGTGGTGTAGTGGTTAAGAGCGGTGGACTCGTAATCTGGTGAACCGGGTTCGCGTCTCCGCTCCTCCACCTGCAGCTGCTGGGTGACCTTGGGCCAGTCACACTTCTTTGAGGTCTCTCAGCCTCACTCACCTCACAGAGTGTTTGCTGTGGGGGAGGAAGGGAAAGGAGAATGTCAGCCGCTTTGAGACTCCTTTGGGTAGTGATCAAGCGGGATATCTTATTATTATTATTATTATTATTATTGGTGCACTCCACGGTCCTGATAGACAAGGGCACCTTCTTTGCTGGGCAAGAACACTGTTGCTGGGCAAGAACACACCTACAATTTAATTAAAGTCTCATAAATTTAAATACAGTGGTACCTCGGGTTAAGTACTTAATTGGTTCCGGAGGTCCGTTCTTAACCTGAAACTGTTTTTAACCTGAAGCACCACTTTAGCTAATGGGCCCTCCAGCTGCCGCCACACCACCAGAGCATGATTTCTGTTCTCATTCTGAAGCAGAGTTCTTAACCTGAAGCACTGTTTCTGGGTTAGCAGAGCCTGTAACCTGAAGCGTATGTAACCTGAAGCGTATGTAACCTGAAGCGTCTGTAACCCGAGGTACCACTGTATGTACACAGCCACTGCTACAGTTTCCCCCCACTGTGAGTTCGTTGATGTGTTGTGAGATTGTCACTGCGACTGAAGCTCTTGCCACATTCGAAGCACCGGTACGGTTTCTCCCCGCTGTGAATTCTTTGGTGGAAAATGAGCGTGTGCCTGTGACTGAAGCTCTTTCCACACTCCAAACACAGGTGCGGCTTCTCTCCGCTGTGCGTTCTTTGATGGGTAGTGAGCTGGGTGCTCTGGCTAAAGCGCTTCCCACACTCCTGGCACTGGAAAGGTTTCTCCCCGGTGTGGATTCTCTGATGGGCTGCGAGGTTGGCCCTGTGACCAAAGCGCTTTCCGCACGCCAAGCAAAGGTACGGTTTCTCCCCGCTGTGAGTTCTCTTGTGGGAAGTGAGAGAGGTGCTCTCGCTGAAGCTCTTCCCACACTCCAAGCACTTGTAGGGTTTCTCCCCCTTATGAATTCTTTGATGGGAAGTGAGCCATTTCTTCAAGGCGAAGCTCCTTCCGCATTCCAAGCACTGATGTGGCTTCTCCTCTGTGTGAACTCTTTGATGGGAAGCAAGGGTGCGCCTGTATCTGAAAACCTTTCCACATTCCAAACACACGTATGGGTTCTCTCCGCTGTGAGTTCTTTGATGGGTGGTGAGATGGGCGCTCTGGCTGAAGCTCTTTCCACACTGCCGGCACTGAAATGGTCTCTCCCCGGTATGAATTCTTTGATGGGTTGTGAGGTTGGCTCTGTGACTGAAGCTCTTTCCACATGCCGAGCAATGATATTGCTTCTCTTCTCTTTGAGTGCTTTCCTGGGAAATGAGATGGACCTTCTTACAGAAGCTCTCACCGCACCCCAAATATTTATGTAGCGTTTCCATTATGTGGATTTCTAACATTTCGCCACCTGCAACGAAGAGGAAAACAGATTAGATCCTCAGGAATCCCCCAATGATGGAGAAATGCAAATGAAAGATTGTTATAGACAAAGAACTGGAGAGATTTAGATGTCAAAGTTCATGCTTTTCATTGACTAGTAATCACAGGCCTATTTATGGGAACCTGAGATTTTAAAAGCCTGACTCTTTTCTGGGAGCGTTTGGCTCAATCATGTGATCCACTACATCTCCAGGGTCAGCATTTAGTCAACCAAAGACGGACAGAAGCAGAAACAAAAACCTGACAGAATCTGCATCTGCTAGCCTAACAACTCTCAATCCTATACTTTAAAAGGCCTAGAGCTCAGACTAGGCTGATCACTGTTATTTGACTTTCCTCTGTAAAGTTTTATTCTGGATTGTTTTAGTTGACTTTTAATGTAGGTCGCAAACTGCTTTGAGATTCTTTTCTTAAAACTATGCAGTGGTATAGAAATGAAGTGCATGATAGTAATAATAACAACAACTGGGGAAAGAATATTCAGAGACAAACAGGAGATAGTTTGGGGAGTGCTAGAATCCCAGAGGCTGGAGCTGGAGCTGCTGAGCTCCATCCAAATACGGAAGGGATGTCAGAGAGAGAAAAGCACTGAATTTCAAAACAGAGACTCTGATCCAACAGGGAGCCTTACTGAGAGAGTCCACAATCCCACGATTCTCCGCCATGACTTCCTTATGCAGAGCTCTCTGGTCAGGATCCAGCAACGCCCACTCCTCGTCCGTGAAAGAAACGGCAACGTCTTCAAAGCACACTGGACCCTAAAAGAGAAAAGGAGATGTCCTCCAGTCAGACAGCTGGAAGATGATGGTTTTCTGCCTGTTGGTTACTTTTCAGGGATTGTTTTCCTGCACATTTTTATTATGGATGCTTATTTTAACGTATCAAATGAATTCTTCTCTTGCGGCTTTTAATGATGGGTATTACTCATGGTTCAAAGGGGAAGAGGTCAACATTGTGGTCCTGGTATCATTCTGCCTGCACAAAGCATCCCAGTCTAGCAGAGAGAAGGATCCCCTCTGTCCTCTCCCTGGACGCTGTTCTTGAGGGGACCCTCCCGACGCCCTAAAGCAAACTTCAAGGGGTGAATGGGGACACTGGAGGAGAGAAGAGAGCGGGGGAAAGCCCTGCTGTGAAACGGATGGGGCAGCTTAGGTGAATCCTGGCCACTGCTTTTCATGGCTTGTCAACTGCTTAGAAGCCTATTTTAGCATTCAGTGACGAGTTTATAAAGAAAGCAGGAAGAATGGAGCGACATTCAGAAGGTTGGCTGAGGTGAGGCAGCTGCTCCTTATTCTCAGCACAGAAACCTTCCTGAATGGCCTTTCCAGCTTTTGTGAAGGGCAGCTTTGACACAAGCCAAATGGAGCAGGAGTGAGACTCATCACTGGGGCCCAGAGGCTTCCTGGCTGCCCCACCCCTCAGCCTCTTGACCCACACGGCTCCTTCCCCCTACCTGATCTGCTTCCACAGCCACCGCTTCCCCTCTGACACCATGAAAAGATGGAGGTTTTGCCGAAGTCTTTCTATCACCTGCGGGAGACAAAGGTAAGGTCTAGCAGAGCATCTCTTACTACAAATGGGCCTTAGAAAAACCTCGCTGAGTGCATTTGGACATTTGTACCCATTTGGTAGCTCAGTTGCGTATATATTGTAAATCACCCTGAGACCTCCAAGTATGGGGTGGTATATAAATTCAGTAATTGAAATACAGTGGTGCCTCGCAAGACGAAAAGAATCCGTTCCGCGAGTCTCTTCGTCTTGCGAAGCAAGCCCATTAGCTGATTAGCGGATTAGCGCTATTAGCGAGCTGATAAGCAGTTTAGCGGCTTAGCGGATCAGCTGTTAAGCGGCTTAGCGGCTTGGGGAAAAGGGGGGGGGGAGGAAAAAAACCCTGCAGGAACTCGCAAGACATTTTCGTCTTGCGAAGCAAGCCCATAGGAAATTCATTTTGCGAAGCACCTCCAAAACGGAAAACCCTTTTGTCTAGCGGGTTTTCCGTCTTGCGAGGCATTCGTCTTGCGGGGCACCACTGTATACGTCTCTCCTCCTTGGGGCTCATGGCTTCAATTGTTTCCCCCCAAACGATTCAGAGAACTCACAGGTGAGTTTCAGAACCCACAGAATGTGACCAAACAGAGACAAACCTCATCATTCCTCCTTACCCAGTGGCCTCTCTCTGGTGTCCAACCGAGTCCTCTCTGCCTCAGAGGAACCTGAACCCGTTCCTGCAACCAGATCCATTCCCTGAAATCACAGAATCATAGAACGGGGTCAGCTAGTCCACCCTCCTGCAATGCAGGAATCTCAACAGAAAGTCCAAACAGAAAACGGGGAGAAGGATTAGAAAAGGAACAGCAAATGAAAAGATGTTAGGGGTATCATATAACACTCCTTGGGGTCCTTTGTTTAAGATGGGCCATGAGTAGAGAATTTGGGGACACTCTCCCTCATGTTGGGAGCCCCTTGAGAGTATCCAGAGGACAGTCTCTCTCACCTGCTTTCTCTCTGCCTGCTTCCTCTCCTCTGCCTGACTCAGGAGGAATCCTTCGGCCAGGGCCACCGCCTGGGAACTGGTCTCCGCTCCGCATTCCCTCACCCAGCTCTCCATCTCCGCTGGAAGGACAGCCAGGAACTGCTCCATGATCACCAGGTCCAACATCTGAGCTTTCGTGTGTCTTTCTGGCTTTAGCCAATGATGGTCAAAGTGGTAGAGTCGTCTGCAAACCTCTCGGGGTCCTTTGGCCTCCTGGGGGCAGAACTGCCTCAGCTGCTGGCTCTGCACCTGTGTGCATAGGGTGTCCTCCTCACCCTGGATCCTCTGCACAGAGTTTTCCCAGAATCCCCCACTGCTCCCATGGCCTCTTCCTGCTTCAGGGCCAGCTGAGTCTCGCTCATCCATCTGTGCTCTCAGGAAACCTCCAAGAGATCAGAAGAAATCCCTTTTTCCCCCTGCCGTGTTCAGTCTGTCCAAATTAGAGTAGCTAGAAAATCCTACAAAGCAAATGCATTGTTCAGTTATAAAATTGACTGACACTCTGTCTGGAGCAAAGAAAGATGTTCCCTGATCAAGCATGGATGATCCCTTAATGTGCCTGCTTGGAGAGACTCAAGCTTATCCTGCAACTGGGGTTACTCCTGGATCCAAGGGTGTCACTTGAGGCTCAGTCGGCCTCGGGGACAGTGCCCATTTCTAGCTCCGGCCTGTTTGCCAGCCCCAGTCCACACTCTGCATCCCATGGGATTATGACAGTGTTCACTATGCAGAGCTGCCCTTGAAGAAGACTCAGAAACCGGTTTAAAACACAGCAGCCAGATTCCTGCCTGGGTTCCCCTCTATTTCACAGTTCCCTTTAAAGACGGCCACCTTCCTCTGCAAGGAGCTCAAGGCCTCATCCATGGATCTAGCCCTCCTCATGCAACCCTTAGGAACATATTCTGCTCCTCTTTTAAACGCAGCTGCAGGGCTTGTCAGTTCGTTTCCAAGTGCAATTCGCCGTTCGCTGAGGACCCCCAATATCTGAAGAACCTCCTCCTTCCATACACATGCCCTCTTGGGTGCTCAGGTGGGCAGAGGGTTGGCCACCCTGGTGGCTGTTTCTCAGGTGGGGAATCCCCTCCCCAGGCACCTTCCACACCCCACCCCACTAGCAGATGAGCATTAGGTCCAGTCGTGGCCGACTCTGGGGTTGTGGCGCTCATCTCGCTTTATTGGCCGAGGGAGCCGGCGTACAGCTTCCGGGTCATGTGGCCAGCATGGCGAACCAGAGCAGCGCACGGAAACGCCGTTTACCTTCCCGCCAGAGCGGTACCTATTGATCTACTTGCACTTTGACGCACTTTCGAACTGCTAGGTTGGCAGGAGCTGGGACCGAACAACGGGAGCTCACCCCGTCACGGGGATTCGAACCGCTGACTTTCTGATCGGCAAGCCCAAGAGACTTGGTGGTTTAACCAAGCAGAGACCCACCACCTATTCCTGCGACTGTCACTTGCTTTCCTTCTTTTCGAGATGGAAATTCCCAGTCCCCTTGGCAATGGATGCAGCAGCCCTAGCTTCCAGTATTACTGGCGGGGCTGGACTAGAGGACCTCATGGGTCCCCTCCAACTCTGCGGCTCTGAAGGTGGATGAGGGACCCCAGAAGGAGCGCCCCGTGTCCCCTGACACCCCCCCCCTCCGCTCCCACGCCTCCCCCCCCTCCAAAGCACCCCAAAGGGCAGCCTCACCCAGGAAGCGCCACGCAGGAAAAAGGAGGCAGGCGCAGCAGCCCCCTCGCAGGAAGTGACGTGCGGGAGGGGGTCTCGGCCGACCCTCCTCGTCATTTCTTGTCCTCCCCAGCTGCTATTTCAGGAGAGGAGGCGGGAAGAGGCGCCGTGTTGCTTAGCGACGTGACGCCAAAGCACCCAAAAGACGCCATCTTGGAAGAGGGCGGGAGGGAAGGAAGCGCGGAAAGCGGCCGAAAGGGAGGAGGGCCCGCGGCTAGGAAGCGAGCGAGAGGCGCCGCCTGAGGAGAGGCACCGGGGGCAGAAGCAGCGCGGGAAGCGGGCGGAGAAAGCCCCGCGGCCGCGGAGGGCCGGGGCGAAGGCGCCATCTTGGACGAGGGCAGCCTCTGAGGAGGGGCCCCGAGGGCGGGAAGTGACGCGAGCGTCGCGTGGAGACGGCACCGCTGCCGTGGTGCGCGAGGGCGCGGCGCGAGGCCCGATTGGACGAAGGGCGGAGGGCGGGCGGAAGTGCCCCTCCCGCCATGCTGGACAAGGGCAGGTGGGGCGCCTGAGGCGGCGTCTTGGAAGAGGCGGGCGGGGCGGCGCTGCTCTCTCTCCTCCGCAAGTGCTGCTTCCCGGGCGCCTGCGGGGGAAGAGCGGCCATTTCGCGGGGGAATCCCTCGGGGGGACTGGCTCGGCAGCGGGAGGCCCCGCCAGGAAGCAGCAGAAGCGGGTGGAAAGGCGGCCTTGGCGGGTGAGGGCGGAGGGAGCTCGGCTTGGGTGTTGAGTCGTTTAGTGGTGTCCGCCTCTTCGTGACCCCCTGGACCAGAGCACGCCAGGCCCTCCTGTCTTCCACTGCCTCCCTCAGGCTGGTAGCTTCCAGAACACTATCCAACCATCTCGTCCTCTGTCGTCCCCTTCTCCTTGCGCCCTCCATCTTTCCCAGCATCAGGGTCTTTTCCAGGGAGTCTTCTCTTCTCATGAGGTGGCCAAAGTCTTGGAGCCTCAGCTTCAGGATCTGTCCTTCCATGGAGCACTCAGGGCTGATTTCCTTCAGAATGGAGAGGTTGGATCTTCTTGCTGTCCACGGGACTCTCCAGAGTCTCCTCCAGCACCAGAATTCAAAAGCATCCATTCTTCGGCGATCAGCCTTCTTGATGGTCCAGCTCTCACTTCCATACATCACTCCTGGGAAAACCATGGCTCTAACTATATGGACCTTTGTTGGCAAGGTGATGTCTCTGCTTTTTAGGATGCTGTCATTGCTTTCCTCCCAAGGAGCAGGCGTCTTTTAATTTCGTGACTGCTGTCACCATCTGCAGTGATCATGGACCCCAAGAAAGTAAAATCTCTCACTGCCCCCATTTCTTCCCCTTCTATTTGCCAGGAGGTGATGGGCCCAGTGGCCATGATCTTTGTTTTTTTTTATGTTGAGCTTCAGACCATATTTTGAGCTCTCCTCCTTCACCCTCATTAAAAGGTTAAAATGAACTGAGCAGGATTCCTAGAAAGGGGGAGCAAAGAGGGGGGAAGTCCTCTAGGGCAGAAGCCCCGCCCTCCTCGTGGGCTCTGCTGGGTCTCCTCTCTCTCCTCTCTCTCTGGGGAGAAGGGGGATTGGGAAAGCATCCCTTAAGGTGCCCACACATTCTGCATGGGAACTTTGCTTGCTTCTTGTTTTTTCTTCCTTTAAAGAAAGCTCAGAATCAGGGCTGTGGGGCAGCCCAGGCCTGGTTCCCAGCAAGCCTCATCCACGCGGGATCAGGGAACATCTTTCTTTTCCCCAGACATTGTGTCAATTTTATAACTGAGTAATGCATTTGCTTTGCAGGATTTTCTAGCTGCTCTAATTTGGACAGACTGAACATGGCAGGGGAAAAAAGGGATTTCTTCTGATCTCTTGGAGGTTTCCTGAGAGCACAGATGGATGAGCGAGACTCAGCTGGCCCTGAAGCAGGAAGAGGCCATAGGAGCAGTGGGGGGTTCTGGGAAAACTCTGTGCAGAAGATCCTGGGTGAGGAGGACACCCTCCACGCACAGGTGCAGAGCCAGCAGCTGAGGCAGTTCTGCCCCCAGGAGGCCAAAGGAACCCGAGAGGTTTGCAGAAGACTCTACCAATTTGACCATCATTGGCTAAAGCCAGAAAGGCACACAAAAGCTGAGATGATGGACCGGGTGATCTTGGAGCAGTTCCTGGCTGTCCTTCCAGCGGAGATGGAGAGCTGGGTGAGGGAATGCGGAGCGGAGACCAGTTCCCAGGCGGTGGCCCTGGCCGAAGGTTTCCTCCTGAGTCAGGCAGAGGAGAGGAAGCAGGCAGAGAGAAAGCAGGTGAGAGAGACTGTCCTCTGGATACTCTCAAGGGGCTCCAAAGAGGAGGGAGAGTGTCCCCAAATTCTCTACTCATGGCCCATCTTAAACAAAGGACCCCAAGGAGTGTTATATGATACCCCTAACATCTTTTCCTTTGCTGTTCCTTTTCTAATCCTTCTCCCCATTTTCTGTTTGGACTTTCTGTTGAGATTCCTGCATTGCAGAAGGGTGGACTAGCTGACGCCGTTCTATGATTCTGTGATTTCAGGGAAAGGATCTGGTTGCAGGAACGGGTTCAGGTTCCTCTGAGGCAGAGAGGACTCAGTTGGACGCCAGAGAGAGGCCACTGGGTAAGGAGGAATGATGAGGTTTGTCTCTGTTTGGTCACATTCTGTGGGTTCTGAAACTCATCTATGAGTTCTTTGAATCGTTTGGGGGGAGACAATTGAAGCCATGAGCCCCATGGAGGAGAGACGTATATTTCATTTACTGAATTTATATACCACCCTATACCCGGAGGTCTCAGGGTGATTTACTATATGTACGCAACTGAGCTACCAAATGGGTACAAATGTCCAAATGCACTCAGCGAGGTTTTTCTAAGGCCCAGTAAGAGATGCTCTGCTAGACCTTACCTTTGTCTCCCACAGGTGACAGAAAGACTTCGGCAAAACCTCCTCCATCTTTTCATGGTGTCAGAGGGGAAGCGGTGGCTGTGGAAGCAGATCAGGTAGGGGGAAGGAGCCGTGTGGGTCAAGAGGCTGAGGGGTGGGGCAGCCAGGAAGCCTCTGGGCCCCAGTGATGAGTCTCACTCCTGCTCCATTTGGCTTGTGTCAAAGCTGCCCTTCACAAAAGCTGGAAAGGCCATTCAGGAAGGTTTCTGTGCTGAGAATAAGGAGCAGCTGCCTCACCTCAGCCAACCTTCTGAATGTTGCTCCATTCTTCCTGCTTTCTTTATAAACTCGTCACTGAATGCTAAAATAGGCTTCTAAGCAGTTGACAAGCCATGAAAAGCAGTGGCCAGGATTCACCTAAGCTGCCCCATCCGTTTCACAGCAGGGCTTTCCCCCGCTCTCTTCTCTCTTCCAGTGTCCCCCTTCGCTCCTTGAAGTTTGCTTTAGGGCGTCGGGAGGGTCCCCTCAAGAACAGCGTCCAGGGAGAGGACAGAGGGGATCCTCTCTGCTAGACTGGGATGCTTTGTGCAGGCAGAATGATACCAGGACCACAATGTTGACCTCTTCCCCTTTGAACCATGAGTAATACCCATCATTAAAAGCCGCAAGAGAAGAATTCATTTGATACATTAAAATAAGCACCCATAATAAAAATGTGCAGGAAAACAATCCCTGAAAAGTAACCAACAGGCAGAACACCACAGAGCAAAGTGCACTAGGTCATCTTCCTGCTGTCTGACTGGAGGACATCTCCTTTTCTCTTTTAGGGTTCAGTGTGCTTTGAAGACGTCGCCGTTTCTTTCACAGACGAGGAGTGGGCATTGCTGGATCCTGACCAGAGAGCTCTGCATAAGGAAGTCATGGCGGAGAATCGTGGGATTGTGGACTCTCTCAGTAAGGCTCCCTGTTGGATCAGAGTCTCTGTTTTGAAATTCCGTGCTTTTCTCTTTGTGACATCCATTCCGTATTTGGATGGAGCTCAACAGCAGCAGCAGCAGCCTCTGGGATTCTAGCACTCCCCAAACTATCTCCTGTTTGGGCTTTGAATATTCTTTCTCCAGTTGTTGTTATTACTATCATGCACTTCATTTCTATACCGCTCTATATTTTTAAGAAAAGAATCTCAAAGCAGTTTGCGACCTACATTAGAGGTCAACTAAAACAATTCAGAATAAAACTTTACAGAAGATAGCCTGGCTAGTCTGAACTGATAAGGGCTTCTTACTGTAGGCTTCAAAGTTCTTAAGAAAGTAGAAGTAGCTTCTGTTGGGTATTTTTGTTTTTGCTTCTACCCATTTTCAGTTGACCAAAGAGATTACTGACCTTGGAGATGAAGTGGATCCCATGATTGAGCCCAAAATATCTCTCCCAGAAAAGAGTCAGGCTTTTTGAATCTCAGGTTTCCATAAATAGGCCTGTGATTATTAGTCAATGAAACCGTGAACTATATATCTATCTTTCTATATGCAGGTTTTGGTGTCCTCGGGTGTCTTCCCGTGTAAAAGTTGGGGTGTCTAGGCGACGTTTCGACGAGGTCTCACTCGTCATCTTCAGGCTGGTGCTTTCGGCTTCTTGTTACTGGAACAGAGCAGGATCTCAGTGTTTGAGTTCCTATAAATACTGTTGAGGGGGTGTGGTGTAAAGCCTCCAATGTTCTGGGCAGAGAGGAAGTTCCCAGGTTAGTGTGCCTTTTCTTCTTTTGTTCCTTAATTACTTGAGGGATATCTTGAGTGATTTCTTGAGTGATATCCTGAGTACCACTTAGGTGGGTCATTAGGTGTGGATTAGTTGCTAAAGCCTTCGTGTCTTGACCTCTTGAACTTTGTGAAGAGTTTTTCTGAGAAGATGGCTGTACTGCAATTAGTTGTGCTCTGGCTTGGCTTCGTGTATAGGGGCGAGCTGTGGTTTTGTGTCCTGTGCCAGCCAGATCTGTGTAGGGATTGCAGGGGGGTGCAGCATCCGGAGGTGCCACTATGGTTTGGCTACTGGATGGTGTCTGTAATTTATCTGTGGAGAGGGTCTGGGTTTGGGTCTGGTGTGGTTGATTGGTGATGGCGTTCTGTGTGCCTCTGGATCTGGTGTCGGTTTTTGTGGGGAGGGCTAATTTCCAGATGTCTGGCAGGCGGGATGTGTCGTCACGCTTGTTCATGTTGTGAGGGTGTTTCTCTATCTCGATGGCTTCCATGATTATTCTCTTGTGGTGATGTTCCATGTTAGAGAGCAATTTGGAATCTGCAAAATTAATTTCGTGTCCTGTTTCTTTCATGTGTTGGAAAAGAGAGGAAGTTTTTTCTTCTTTTTTGACGGCATTCTTGTGTTCTGCGATACGTGCATTTATTCGTCTGTTTGTTTGTCCAATGTACGTGGCTGGGCAGACTTTGCAGGGTATTTCATAGACCCCTTGGTTTTCCAACTGGATTTTATCCTTGGGGTTTCTGAGGATATTGGCTATTTTTTGGTTGGTGCAAAAGGCTGTTTTGATATTGTGTTTATGGAGGATTTTGCTAATTTTATCTGTAGTGCCCTTGATATAAGGAAGGAGGGCCATGCCATTGTTTTCTTCTGTGTCTTGGTTTTTGGGGGGTGTTTCTTTTTGCATTAGCTTCGTAACCCTGTTTTGCTGGTATCCATTGGCGATTAACACATTGGAGAGATTCTGTAACTCAGTTGTCAAGTGGTCTTTGTCAGCCAGGCGTTTGGTTCTGGAGATGAGAGTCTTGGCTACGGAGTTTATTTGTGCAGGGTGGTGGTGTGATTGTGCATGTAAGTAGCGGTTGGTGTGTGTTTTTTTCCGGTAGATAGTGTGTCCTAGGGAGCCATCAGGTTTTTTGTAGATTAGGACGTCAAGGAAGGGAAGTTGGTTGTTGGCTTCTATTTCCATAGTGAATTGTATTTTGGGGTGTAGGCTGTTGAGATGTGTGAGGAAGCTATCTAGTTTTTCCTTCCCGTGTGGCCAAATTACAAAGGTGTCGTCAACATATCTGAGCCAAAGTTTGGGTTTGTGTTCTGACTTGTCTAAAGCATTGGTTTCAAAGTGTTCCATGTACAGGTTTGCGATGACCGGTGAGAGTGGTGATCCCATAGGTGCTCCTTCTATCTGTTTGTATCTTTGTCCATTGTGGATGAAGTACGTGTTGGTTAGGCAGTGGTTGGTCAGGTCCAGGATGTATTCGGGGGGATTGTATTTGTTTTGAATGGCTGTCAAGGCTTCATTAATGGGCACTTGTGTGAAGAGAGATACAACATCGAAGCTCACAAGTAGGTCATTGGGATGTAGGTTTTGCTTCTTTATTGTTTCTATGAACTGGAAGGAGTTTGTAACGTGTGAAGAGATGGATTCTGCATAGGGCTGAAGTTGCTTAGCGAGAAATTTAGCGAGATTTTGTAGAGGTGAGCCTATGGAGCTGACTATTGGTCTGAGTGGTGTTCCTTCTTTGTGTATCTTGGGGAGGCCGTAGAGTTTGGGGCATCTGGATGATTTTTCTCTGGGGATGATTCTCATTCTTTCACATGAAAGAAACAGGACACGAAATTAATTTTGCAGATTCCAAATTGCTCTCTAACATGGAACATCACCACAAGAGAATAATCATGGAAGCCATCGAGATAGAGAAACACCCTCACAACATGAACAAGCGTGACGACACATCCCGCCTGCCAGACATCTGGAAATTAGCCCTCCCCACAAAAACCGACACCAGATCCAGAGGCACACAGAACGCCATCACCAATCAACCACACCAGACCCAAACCCAGACCCTCTCCACAGATAAATTACAGACACCATCCAGTAGCCAAACCATAGTGGCACCTCCGGATGCTGCACCCCCCTGCAATCCCTACACAGATCTGGCTGGCACAGGACACAAAACCACAGCTCGCCCCTATACACGAAGCCAAGCCAGAGCACAACTAATTGCAGTACAGCCATCTTCTCAGAAAAACTCTTCACAAAGTTCAAGAGGTCAAGACACGAAGGCTTTAGCAACTAATCCACACCTAATGACCCACCTAAGTGGTACTCAGGATATCACTCAAGAAATCACTCAAGATATCCCTCAAGTAATTAAGGAACAAAAGAAGAAAAGGCACACTAACCTGGGAACTTCCTCTCTGCCCAGAACATTGGAGGCTATACACCACACCTCCTCAACAGTATTTATAGGAACTCAAACACTGAGATCCTGCTCTGTTCCAGTAACAAGAAGCCGAAAGCACCAGCCTGAAGATGACGAGTGAGACCTCGTCGAAACGTCGCCTAGACACCCCAACTTTTACACGGGAAGACACCCGAGGACACCAAAACCTGCATTCCTGTACCCGTGAAAATCTACGAAAGCAAATATCTCACCTCTACGGGGAGGAAACCTTCCAGCTGACAAGAACCTACGAGAAACTAGAAATCCGAAGAGCCACCATCTTATGTGATCTCTTGTTCCTACGCAACTGCCGAGACAACAACTTAATTCCCACATGCTTCCAACTTAAATTCCACTCTAAAACCCCAGCTACCGAAAGGATCCTGAAACGAACTGAACTATCCCTAATCAGAAACGAACTACATAAGAAAAGATACCTACTAAACCAAACCAACAAAGATCTGCTCACTCTTCACCTCAAACTCTGTAACAAAATCCACCCTGCACTCTGGGACAAATGCAAACAACTAGCCGTCTGGAGAGCTGAAACTGAGACCTCACATAAGACAGACACACACACCAACAAACTCCACAAACTAGAGAAACGCCAGAAGCCCAGCCACCCTCCACAACAACCCATGAAACAAACAGTACATAACATATCAGACAGGATCCTCACCTCAACTGAAACCAAAGTACTCTCCAAAGGTTTCAACTTTGCAGTCGCCCCGAGACGCATCCCCACGGAAAACATCATATGCGGAGTCGAAGCTAGCCTAACCAAAATCAACCCAGATGAAGCCAATAAAATCAGACTTGAAGTCACCAACATCCTCTGCTCCAGCAAACCACCCAGAAGCAATTTACACAAAGAAGAACAGAAAGCACTCACCAACCTGAGGAAAGACAACAACATAATCATTCTCCCAGCAGACAAAGGTAATGCCACTGTTGTGATGAACACATCGGACTACCAAGCAAAACTATCAAATCTACTCCAAGACCCTACCTACCAACCTATAAAAACAGATCCCACCACCTATCTGGAAAAAACCACCAAATCCAAAATAAAAGCCTCTCCTATCAGTGAAGAAATCCAGCTGAGAATCATCCCCAGAGAAAAATCATCCAGATGCCCCAAACTCTACGGCCTCCCCAAGATACACAAAGAAGGAACACCACTCAGACCAATAGTCAGCTCCATAGGCTCACCTCTACAAAATCTCGCTAAATTTCTCGCTAAGCAACTTCAGCCCTATGCAGAATCCATCTCTTCACACGTTACAAACTCCTTCCAGTTCATAGAAACAATAAAGAAGCAAAACCTACATCCCAATGACCTACTTGTGAGCTTCGATGTTGTATCTCTCTTCACACAAGTGCCCATTAATGAAGCCTTGACAGCCATTCAAAACAAATACAATCCCCCCGAATACATCCTGGACCTGACCAACCACTGCCTAACCAACACGTACTTCATCCACAATGGACAAAGATACAAACAGATAGAAGGAGCACCTATGGGATCACCACTCTCACCGGTCATCGCAAACCTGTACATGGAACACTTTGAAACCAATGCTTTAGACAAGTCAGAACACAAACCCAAACTTTGGCTCAGATATGTTGACGACACCTTTGTAATTTGGCCACACGGGAAGGAAAAACTAGATAGCTTCCTCACACATCTCAACAGCCTACACCCCAAAATACAATTCACTATGGAAATAGAAGCCAACAACCAACTTCCCTTCCTTGACGTCCTAATCTACAAAAAACCTGATGGCTCCCTAGGACACACTATCTACCGGAAAAAAACACACACCAACCGCTACTTACATGCACAATCACACCACCACCCTGCACAAATAAACTCCGTAGCCAAGACTCTCATCTCCAGAACCAAACGCCTGGCTGACAAAGACCACTTGACAACTGAGTTACAGAATCTCTCCAATGTGTTAATCGCCAATGGATACCAGCAAAACAGGGTTACGAAGCTAATGCAAAAAGAAACACCCCCCAAAAACCAAGACACAGAAGAAAACAATGGCATGGCCCTCCTTCCTTATATCAAGGGCACTACAGATAAAATTAGCAAAATCCTCCATAAACACAATATCAAAACAGCCTTTTGCACCAACCAAAAAATAGCCAATATCCTCAGAAACCCCAAGGATAAAATCCAGTTGGAAAACCAAGGGGTCTATGAAATACCCTGCAAAGTCTGCCCAGCCACGTACATTGGACAAACAAACAGACGAATAAATGCACGTATCGCAGAACACAAGAATGCCGTCAAAAAAGAAGAAAAAACTTCCTCTCTTTTCCAACACATGAAAGAAACAGGACACGAAATTAATTTTGCAGATTCCAAATTGCTCTCTAACATGGAACATCACCACAAGAGAATAATCATGGAAGCCATCGAGATAGAGAAACACCCTCACAACATGAACAAGCGTGACGACACATCCCGCCTGCCAGACATCTGGAAATTAGCCCTCCCCACAAAAACCGACACCAGATCCAGAGGCACACAGAACGCCATCACCAATCAACCACACCAGACCCAAACCCAGACCCTCTCCACAGATAAATTACAGACACCATCCAGTAGCCAAACCATAGTGGCACCTCCGGATGCTGCACCCCCCTGCAATCCCTACACAGATCTGGCTGGCACAGGACACAAAACCACAGCTCGCCCCTATACACGAAGCCAAGCCAGAGCACAACTAATTGCAGTACAGCCATCTTCTCAGAAAAACTCTTCACAAAGTTCAAGAGGTCAAGACACGAAGGCTTTAGCAACTAATCCACACCTAATGACCCACCTAAGTGGTACTCAGGATATCACTCAAGAAATCACTCAAGATATCCCTCAAGTAATTAAGGAACAAAAGAAGAAAAGGCACACTAACCTGGGAACTTCCTCTCTGCCCAGAACATTGGAGGCTTTACACCACACCCCCTCAACAGTATTTATAGGAACTCAAACACTGAGATCCTGCTCTGTTCCAGTAACAAGAAGCCGAAAGCACCAGCCTGAAGATGACGAGTGAGACCTCGTCGAAACGTCGCCTAGACACCCCAACTTTTACACGGGAAGACACCCGAGGACACCAAAACCTGCATTCCTGTACCCGTGAAAATCTACGAAAGCAAACATCTTTCTATATATATATATATCTATATCTATATCTATATATCTATATGACCCTCCAGACCAGTATGAGGAGCCTTGACTAGGGTTCCTTCCTCCAGCGGGCGCTGCTTGTAGAGAGACTCAGGAGCAGCGGTGGTTTCACCCGCAATATACCACTGAGTGAAACCACCATCCCACTCTGCCCTCATAGAACAGCTTGTTCTTCCCTCTGCATCCTTGATCTGCTCGACTGAGGAGTGCACAGCAGCCCTTGCCTCAGTGGAGCAGTTAAAGGAAGCCCCAGCTGGCAAGCGCCTGGGTGAAGCTGCCTCTGCTCCCAGGGTGAGAGCTGGGGCAGTTTCACCCTGTGTCTCGTGGGCAGAGGCCAGTGCATCTTGTTTTTTCAACATTGCAGTATATTGCGAAATGTTTGGCTAGTCTGTTTAGCTGGTGATACACCACGATGTTGAAAAGCTGATATTTCTCAGCCCTCTGAATCTCTTCAGTTCTTTGACTAAAACAACCTTTCACTCTTGTTGCTCAATAATTGGGGGTTTCCTGAGAATCTGTTTTTCTCTTCCTTACAGGTGGCAAAATGTTAGAAGTGAAGAACAAGGGAGACCACAGCAAAATCCATATAGTGGAGATGCTACATAAATATTTGGGGTGCGGGGAGAGCTGCTGTCAGAAGGTCCATCTCACTTCCCAGGAAAAAACTCGTAGAGGAGAGAAACAATATCAGTGCTCGGCATGTGGAAAGAGCTTCGGTCACAGAACCTACCTCGCAGCCCATCAGAGAATTCATAACGGGGAGAAACCCTTTCAGTGCCAGGAGTGTGGAAAGAACTTCCGGCGGAAGTACCATCTCATGTCCCATCAAAAAATTCACGCCGGAGAGAAACCATATCAGTGCTTGAAATGTGGGGAATGCTTTGAGAACAGCACAAGCTTATGTCTCCATCAGAGTAGTCACAGTGGGGAGAAACCATTTCAGTGCCAGGAGTGTGAAAAGAGCTTCAGGCGGAAGGACCATCTCACCAGCCATCAAAGAATTCACTCAGCAGAGACGCCCTTTCGGTGCCAGGAGTGTGGAAAGAACTTCCGTTGGAAGGCGAGTCTCATTTACCATAAAAAAATTCATACAGGAGAGAAACCGTGTCAGTGCTTGGAATGTGGAAAGAGGTTTACTGTAAACTCAAGCGTCCGTCGGCATCAGCGTATTCACCATGGGGAGATGTCGTTTCAATGCCAAGAGACTGGAAAGAGCCTCGGTCAGAGCACCCATCTCATGCACCATCAGAGAATTCATACACGCGAGAAACCCTATTGATGCCTGGAATGTGGGAAGGGCTTCAGCTGCAAGGACCGTCTCACTTCCCATCAAAGAATTCGCAGCAGGGAGAAACCATATCAGTGCTTGGAATGTGGGAAGAGTTTCGCCTTTAAGGAAAGTCTTACTTCCCGTCAAAGAACCCACAGTGGCGAGAAACCATAACATGGCTTTGTACAAATTTAATTTTTGGATACTTGGTACGTGAGGATTTCAACAGTGTTTTTTTCTTCTGGCAACTCAGGAAAGAAATTGACCTTGTCTCTCAAGGCCACGGAGTTCACACCCGATATAGGCAGCAGTTCTTTATACTTCTTATGCAGATTTGCAAGGTGCTGGAATACCTCCTTATTGTCACGTCTGGGGAGGGGGACAAGAGCAGTTTGGCAGCACTGATGAAGTTGCCGTCAACACTGAGCAATTTAGACACGGCCACTTCAAGAGCCTCCCAGTTGCGAAACGGTGGTGCACCTTGTTTACTCTTGCTGCAAGACCTGAACCGCTGGAAAGAAAGGAGTCTCAATATGTTCACTGCCCTGGGCAAAAATGAGGGTGCTCTAAAGGATGCTGGGCCCAAAATGGCAAGTCCTCGCAGCTCCCCACCCCTTGCTTAAGGGCTAACTCCATTTTTCAATTTCTCTCTCCCACCCCACTCCCCAGCAAAGCCTTTCCCCCAGTGTCGCTGGAGAAGAGGTGAGCAATCATTGGATGGTAGAGTTTAAGGGTTGACACACACCCCCCCGCAATACTAAGGAAGAACTTGGAACCGTCACCTCATCTGGGAGCCACAAACCCGCCTGGATCAAGGTCAGAAGGATCCTTGTTTGTGGCCTCTTTCCTGTCAGCCTCCGTCTAGCGCAGCTTATTCAGAAGGCTGGTGGCTCCAACATGCTAGAAAAGTCACTCCCAGGAGGAGGACAGGAAAGCCCGTCTCCTCCTTACAAAAAATCCAAAGGAGTGACCATCATAGAATAATTGTAGATTTGGAAGGGATGCCAAAGCTCATCTTGTCCAACCCACTGCAAGGCAGGAAACAAGGAGAAGAGAATTTTATTGCCATCCCATTGACCAGCAACACAACCTTCAGTGCAGACGGCTCCTCTTCCGGGTTCCTGCTGGCCAGAATGTTTTTCCATAATGCTCCATCCCATTCCCCGGGCTTCACGTGTTCTCTCTTTCCCCCACCCCCAGGAAGTCAGTACAGGTTCTGTGTCCATTGAGTATTCTCCATTCTCACTCAGCTGTTTTGAGGTTCTCCCTCATCCCCCCCCCCAAGATATTTGTGTTATTTCTGCTTGACAGCCCCTTGTTGGGTGCCAGTCGTGCAGTTTTGGCACCAGAAAGAATTCCTCGGGATCCCTTCCCGCTCTACAGTTTCATGCTGCTACTCAGTAACAAGTTTGCTATAGGTGTTTTGCAGGGAGGGTGAGAGGCATGGAGAAAAAGAGGCCCCGTAATGTCGTCCCCTCCACTCTTGGTGCATCAGAAGTCAAAGAAGCATGTTGCTCCGTTGGCAAAGCAGCAGAATGGCACAAAAGAGTGAGACACTTTCTGTGGGAAATTGCAGTCAAACATAGCCATGCATGAGAGCTAGTTAGTGCATGAAGGGGTTAAGACCAGAGAGTTCTGTTCCAAGGCCCAGCTAGGTCATGCCCCCCTTTACCTCTCTTCCTCCCTCCTCCCACTCTCTCTGTCCAAGGAGGACGTGTCTAAGCTTTGCTCCCAAGTTTAGAGCCCATGTTTAGAACTATATTCTGTATTTCCTGCCCAAGAGGATTCTGTCAGCGTTCTCCTTGCAGCTGCATGGAACAACACATGTCTCAGACCTTTGAATCTGTTAATAAAGTGTTTTAAACTTACGTAGAGTGGTGTGGTCTGTCCTTTGCCAAAGGGGGTCGACAGAAGGGAGTGTTGTAAACAGGATAAGAAAGCTCTAATAGCCTAGATTCCTAACGCTATACAGTCATACCTCGGAAATCGAACAGAATTCGTTCCAGAAGTCCGTTTGACTTCCAAAATGTTTGGAAACCAATGCGCGGCTTCTGATTGGCTGCAGGAGCTTCGGCTTCCAAAAATCGCTGGGAAAACGGAACACTCACTTTCAGGTTTTGATTATTCGGGAGCTGAAACGTATGAGTTCCAAGGCGTTCGGCAACCAAGGTACGACTGTACTGCCACTTGACTCTGAGGCTAAGCTCTGCTGCTGCTGTGCACGTTTAAGCTTGATTCTTTTCTTATCCACTTCACACATGTGAGTCGCACAGATTCGTATATTTCATTTCCCTCCCACCCTTTCAAAGTCTCAGGGGACCTGCAGGTTCTGCCTGACCACTGGGATGGGTTTGCTGTGCTTTTTTAGGAGGCGTGGGACGCATCTGGCTGTATGCTCCCCCAAAACAGGAGCAACTGTTAACGGAGAAATCTGAGGGCTCCCTTGGACAAAAAAACGAGGACACCAGCCAGGAATACCAGAGCAAAACAGCAGCCAGTCGGCTTGGTCTTGACTGAAGACTGTCGTGACAGGACTCCCACCTGCCACCAGGTGGAACAAGATGGAAGCCCCATACAAAAGAGAACCCAAACTTTTATTAGCTGCTGATCCCCATGTCACACACACCCCAAACTACGTCATGGTTACATCATGAAAGGGGAGGTATGGCGGCCGTAATCTGAGCATCCTGGACCCTGCCCCATGGTTCCCCTTGCCCTCCACCAAACACCCATCAAGTGGAACAAGAGATCTTTACATTTCCCTGTTTCCCAGCCAAGTTCATCACACCCTTTTGTCTTCATCTGGGTTTGTTATTTCTGGAACGGCTACCTGTCTGGCACTCAGGTATCAGGATGCCAGGGATTATCCCTCAGGCAGAGGGGCTGTTGAGGAGCTGAGCTCACATGTCTAGATGAATTCCTGAAGTTTTCCCAGTGAGCCAGTACCGAGATTTATCAGTGAATTTTTACATTTGATATCCTGCAGCAAAGGCCCTTTGAATAGATAGGAAGAAACTGATGAAGTGTTTTGTGAGGACAAGTCACAAAAGCAATTGTGCTGGTTTTGGTAGTGGGCGGCATGTGCATGATATCTGCTGGAGGGGCAACCCTCCCCCAACCTATACATAAATTCCTGCAACACAGCCATGGCTTATTGATCACATTTCTATACCCTCCTTATCTTCTTAGGAGCTCCAGGTGGTTTTCATGGTTCTCCCCATTTCATCCAACAACCATGAGAGGTAGGCTAGGCTGAGAGATGGCGACTGGCCTTAACGTCCACCCAGCGAGCTTCATGGCTGAGTGGGGATTCGAACCCAGATCTCTCCCAGGTCCTAGTCCAACAGTCATGACGCCACACTGGCTCTGCATAGTGATGCTGTCAGCCACCAAATTTGATAAGTTTCCAGAGAGGATCTGGTAAGTTGATGAATGGGGGGTGGGGGGCTATGCCCAAACAGAGTCTACAAGCCGACCTTTGGGCTACAGCATTCGGCAGGATACATTTTTAAAAAGCATTCACTGATTGCTTTTTATTTCTTCCGGCTCTCCTCCTGCCCCTCACTTTGCATATTATCTCTCCAGATGAAGAGCTCTGGAAAACACAAGCTTGCTGCCATTTTGCAACCTTTTGCTTGGTCTCAAATTAATAGACCCACTCTCAGATTCTGCTTGCAGGCTTTGCATTGGAGGGATCTGATTGGGGACTGTGAGAACAGGAGAGCCATTGGCCTGATCCAGCCACAGGGCTCTTCGTACATTCTTAGTTCCAAACTGGGTTCTGGAGAGTTACTTTTTTCTCTGTAGCTGCAGACTCCTTGTCATGCCTCGCTCCCGGAGAAAGAGTAATCTTCAGAGGCCATCAGATTTTTTTATTTTTGCAAACAAGCCTCTTACCTTTTCTCTGCGCTTTCCAGGCAAAGGTCTGGGTTTCCCACTTCCGTCTCCAAGGCTGCCTTCCCTTTTTCTTCTCTTGCTTTCTCCAAGAAAACGCTGGATCAGAACGAACGGCCGTCCTCAGGAACCACAACGGCCTTCGCAGAGTCTTCCTCAAGGCGTTCTCCAGATGGTGGATAAGGCTAAACTGGTGACCAGTTTAGGCCTCGAAAGAGCGAAAAGAGCCCTAAATCAAATGCAGGGTATTATTTTTTGGTATTTGATAAATGAATCACATTTTGCACCGACAATCCCCTCATACCAACAGCCTCCCTTCCCAGGAGGGGAGGGAGTCCTGCTCTTGTGCTCGAATCCTGCCTGCACCTGAGTGGCCGCAGTGAGAACTCGCTGGGCTATTGGCCTGATCCATTATGTTCTCATGGAGCCTCCAGGTCCAGTGGCAGTCTACCTAGATTCCTATTGTGATAGGAATTTTGAGGTCTTAGATATATGTTAAATGTTCATAAATGTACCAACTAAGCACGTACATAGATCAGCACAGGAAGACCAACCTGAAGCCATTTTTGATTCCCAAACTGACCAAATGTTTTCTCTGCAAGGTCAAAGGAAAATGGAAAAGCCTCCCCATTGTCTTTTCCTTCACAAATCCCGTCTTAAGGGTGTGTCTGTGTATGAATAGGGTGAGCCTGTGACCTGGCTCGGGAACTAAGTATTTATCATTACAAAAGACTGGCCAGGCTCCCCAGGGTATCCAATCAAGTGAGCATTAACAGGTAACCTGGCAGACAGGAGGTTAAACAAAGCACTCAGATTTCTGCTGTAGACCGCCCTTTCTGTGATGTAGGTGTGATGTATCTGGGGTGGTGGTCTTGAGCTACACCCCTTCTGTGATGTATGTATGATGTATGGAGGGATGGTCTTGAGCTCCAGGGCAGGGAATTTAAAATGTCTATATAAGAGCTTGCACACCAATGTTCTGGGTTCCTCCTCCCTTCTGCGTGTGGTGAGTGAGCACCCTGTTGCAACAGATCAATAAAGATCAGGCTTACGAGCTGCTTTGCTTCTCAATATTCTCTGCTTGGCCTCTGTTATTTTCTCCTACCAATAGGAAACCTACGTAAGGACTATATATGGACTCTTGGGTACCCCATAAGGGGGAAAAGGGCAGATTTTTCTTTACAACACTAGGTTCTTAGGGGCATTTGGCCACTGTGAGGACAGGAAGCTGGTCTAGATGGGCCCCCTTTGGTCTGGTCCAGCAACAGCTGGGCTCTCCTTCTTCCTTAGAAAAATAATCACAAGCCACTTACCGGTATTTTAAAAACCCAAGAGCCTGACGACAGTTGCACCGGAAGAGCAGCAATGTCATCTTTTTCTCCTGTATCAGCCAAGCGAAGGCATGATGTCAGTTCCAGGGAACTGTCTAGAAATTGCTGCTTATTGCTGATCCTGAAAGTGATTCTGGCCCTCATAACATTTGCCGCCCGCACCCAGTTCCTTTTTGACTCCTTTTCCTGCTAACCCTAAAAAAAAAGCCCCGATTCTGGATCCCGTGATTCTCCCCTCTGGCAGTTCCTCTTTTTCTGCTTATTGGGGTGAAAAGGGGGAATTGAAAGATTTGGGCTTCCTTGAGCCTGCGTCTCAAGCCAGTGCTGAACCAGAGAAGCGAAGAGGCCAGGCAGGGTTCAATGCGGATGCAGCCGAGGGGCAAGTCTAGGAGGAGCGAATCTCCTGCCTCGTGGAGGTCCCTGGTTCAAGCCCTGGGGTCTCCAGGCAGGGCTGGGAATGGGTCTAAAAACCCGGACAACTGATGCCCGTCCATGTAGACAGGACTCAGCTGGGGGCACCAATTGGGCGACTGAGCGGAAGGCGGTTTAACTGGGTTCCCAATGAAATCACTCAGAACCTGAGGAGTCACTTAGGATACTTCGAAGGGATTCTATAGATGTTGTTTTCCAACGTATTATTAAAGATTTCTTGGTTTACAAAAGCAAGTGCAATGTCTCTTTTTTCGAGTTACATTTTCTACAGATCAGTTTCATTTGTTGAGACGTTAGTGTTACCTTAGGAAGAGAAGGGGGAAAGAGGTGGAAGGGGGAATGGGGAGTGGGGTGGGGTCGGGTGGCAATGTTTCTACTTTAATGTGTGGGGGGGGTTGTGTCAGCCCCACTTGTGCGGGTTCCCTTTACTATCCCTTGCGTTCCTTTGGTGGTGAGACAGGTTGGGGTTGGCCTAGGCCAGGCATGGGCAAACTCAGCCCTCCAGATGTTTTGGGACTACAACTCCCATCATCCCTGACCCCTGGTCCTGTTAGCTAGGGATGATGGGAGTTGTAGTCCCAAAACATCTGGAGGGCTGAGTTTGCCTATGCCTGCCCTAGGGTGTGGTTGTTCCTTTGTGGTTGGCTGTGGTGGTCTTTGTTTTCATGTGTGAGTGGGGTGGATGTTTTGGATCAGGTTAGCCATATTCATTTGTATGCTATTGGTGGGTTCTTGCCGTTGTCTTGTTGGGCTGTGTGTGTGATAAAGGGGAGCCATACCGGGGTGAAGGCATCTTCTTCCATTTGTCCCCGTTTCAGTTTCAGTTTGTTGGTTAGTTTTTCTAGTCGGGCTGTTTCCCATACTATTTGATACCATTGGTCCATGCTTACTCCTGACAGGTCTCTCCAGTGTGATTCTATAGATATTTCAACCAGCGCATTATAGACTTTACTCCAGACTCGAGTGGAATTGACTCATTAGTTATATGTAATAAACAGAAACATAATGTTGCCTGGCACCCCAGTCTCGGAGCAAAGCGAGATTTCAAGCACTTGCACAGAGTTTGGTTTCATTGGAATGAAGCACCGCAGATATTGTGGCGTCTTTGTGATAGATGGTCTGTTTACACATATACAGTACAGTCATACCTTGGGTTACAGACGCTTCACGTTGCACGGAATGGGTTACTTCCGGGGTTTGGAGCTCGCGCATGCGCAGAAACTAAATCGCACTTTGCACATGCGCAGGAGCACTGAATCGCAACCCGCACATGCGCAGATGCCGCGCTGCGGGTTGCGAACATGCCTCCCGCACGGATCGTGTTTGCAACCCAAGTGCCCACTGTATATAACCTGCCCTTATGATGGAGGGGCTCACAGTGAAAGACCTTTTCTTAGTTCCTTCCCTTCGGAGTATCAGAATTCGCTTCAAAAAGTCAATTTGACAGCAGTAAAATCATTTTTATTTTATCATGACAAAATAATGGTACAGACAAGGTAAAATTCATTGCCTGCCCGCCCTCTCTGGGCTTGCCACCCCTTTTTATATCCCCTGTGACGGTCTATCATCTGATTTACAAGAAAATGTGATTTACGGGAAATGGTATAGAATTTAGCTTTCGTTTCTCCGTATTTGGAATTCCTTGTTTCACATATGTCCAGTCCCTCCCTCTGGGGTTACAATAACATCCATTCAACCTATTCAACCTTGCTCTTTATCTTTTACTCACCCAAGCCAAACATTCCTGAGATAGGCCTATTTTCACTGTAACATCTCAGCAAGGAAAAGCCTTGTTCTTCTGGCTGGTGAAAAACCTTCAAAATCTCCCCCCTTTGGGATAACATATGAGAGAGGAGAAAATGCCTTAAACAGTTTTCTTTTTTTGGGGGGGGTTTCATATAGAGAACAATATTCTAATGGCCCCTTCAACAGCATTAACCCCCCCCCCAAGAAGGCCTTTTTTCTCCCACCATCCTAGTGGATCCCAAAGCTTGCACACCCAGTCCTCCTTCCTCAAGCAGAAGTGGCAAGGACGTTCCGTGTGTGTGTGTGTGTGTGTGTGTGTGTGTGTGTGTGTGTTTCCTAAACCCAGAGGGAGGTCTCTGGCTACTGTGTCCATGGGGCCTGGTCACATGACCCCAAGGTCCACCCTGGGTGTCATCCGATGGCCAAGCCTACAAGAAGGGCGGGCAGGAGGAAGCCTCTCCCCATCCTTGGCCAAGTTGCAGAAAAGGGAAGGAGAAGCTGGTGTCCCTGGCTGAGCTGTCCAGGCTCCTCACACGTTTTCCTTGGGGCTGATCTCTCCACCGTGACACCAACATGGATCCAGCTGTTGCCTTCCTCCTCCTCGTCTTCACCTTCCAAGCTACAAGTGAGTAAAATCCAGGTGACGCTCTGTTAAACTCCCTCTCTCTGTGTGTGTTCCATAATGCAATGCCCTTGCCTCTTCTTGCACGAGCAAGCAATGTGTGTGGAGGTATAGGGCTCCCTGCTTATTCCACATTTATCCCCAGTTGCTCACAGAGATGTTAGACAATATCCAGTCTTTATTGCAGAAATTTTCCAGGTTGTTTTCAGAGAGGCTATTTGACAATGAGCTTCAGGCAGATTTGCTTACAGGGTGTTTATCCGTCTTCCCAATGGGCATTTGTTCATTCCACAAGCAGGAAAAAGGCAATTTCCTTTTAACGGTGTATTTGCTGGCTGAGGGTGAACTATGATATCCCATTTGTATCTCACTTTTTCTCCAAAGAGCTCAAAGTGCCCCAAAAACAAAAAACCCCAACCCCTTCTGATGAGCACTTAACAAAAAGGACGAAATCGTGGCTGGTTAACTGCAACCACGGAGTCATGGGTGGGACATTTTCTCAGAAGCGTTGAAAATAAATATCTGGTTATTATGGGGTGCTGAAGGGCGCAATGAGTTGTTGGCTTTTGGTTTTGGTTTTTAAGCACACGTTCTGTAGACTCATAGAACTATAGAGATGGACGAGACCCGACGGGCCACCCAGTCCGACCCCTGCAACGCAAAAATCACAGAATCTGTGCCCAGAGGTGGAATTAGGTGGGCTTGTGAGTCCAGAAGGGGCTGGGGTCCCTTTGTCACTGCAAATCACCCTGCTATGCAAGCAGCCCCAGAGAGTTGTTGTAGCAGCAGACTAGAAAGGGGAGATTTTGGGGGCGGGAGGAGAACCAGGATTGCTGGTTCCCCAATGTCTCATCTCTCGCCTTTGCCTGTAGCCTGATGGAAAAGCTGCAAATTGGGGTTCTGGCCTCACGATGCTCCTGCCCACTTCATTATCGTGATGATGATGATGATGATATATTATTTATACCCCGCCCATCTGTCTGGGTTTCCCCAGCCACTCTGGGCAGCTTCCAACAGAATATTAAAATACAATAGGCTATTAAACATTAAAAGCTTCCCTAAACAGGGCTGCCTTCAGATGTCTTCTAAAAGTCTGGTAGTTGTTTTTCTCTTTGACATCTGACAGGAGGGCGTTCCAAGGGCGGGCACCACCACCGAGAAGGCCCTCTGCCTGGTTCCCTGTAACCTCACTTCTCGCACTGAGAGAACCACCAGAAGGCCCTCGGATCTGGACCTCAGTGTCTGGGCAGAACAATGGGGGTGGAGACGTTCCTTCAGGTCTACTGGACTGAGGCCTTTTAGGGCTTTCTAGGTCAGCACCAACACTTTGAATTGTGCTTCTGGCGGTTCCCTGGCTGCGAGAAGCCAAGTTACAGGGAACCAGGCAGAGGGCCTTCTTGATGGTGGCGCCTGTCCTGTGGAAAGCCCTAAAAATAAATTATTATTATTATTATTATTATTATTATTATTATTGGTTCTGAGTGGCATTTGGCCACTGCAAAGCAAGAAGGTTGCACTGGCTGGGACCCTTCTTAGGTCCTGGTGGAACCTCCAGGTCCAGAGGCAGTCTATCGAGATTTCTAGGTCTTAAGGGCTTTTGCATGGCCACCGTGAGAACAGGAGGCTTGCTTTGATGGGCTCCCTTGGGCCTGATCCAGCTTCTGGGCTCTGGATTCAACCTGGATTCTGAGGAGATGTTCCTCATGGTTGTTTTTAGGAGTAAGAGGAACTGATCTGGAAAGATTTGGCAATGGGGTTTGGGTGTGTGCCTGTAAAACAAGCAAGGTCATCCCCATTAATTGCTCAAGAAGTGTTGTGTCAGCTAGTGGCATTTTGAGAGAAGCGTAACTTGTTTGGGTTTTTTTAATAAAATATTTATTGGTTTTTTCAGAAATTAATATAACAGAAAAATCACAAAATTACAAAAACTCGCAAAAAAGTACAAAAAAGGAAAGAAAAAAAAAGAAAAACACAAAAAAAACAAAAATGCATACACAAAAAGAGAAAAAACACAAAACCACATGTATAATTTCCTTCCCTTATGTTCATAAAACTTACTTTCCCGACCTCCTCATACCTCCCCTTACTGCATTCTATTCCCTGATCAATTCTCTTCAACAAATCCTTCCCCTAGTTTCTATTAAAATCTTTGACCTTTCTTTTCATATTTTCATAATCATTACAGCAAACAACCACTTAGTTTCAGAATCAACATCGTCCTAACATTCCACAATTTTACAATATTTCTTAAGATAGTCTTTGAATTTCTTCCAATCTTCTTCCGCTGTCTCTTTTCCCTGGTCTCGGATTCTGCCGGTCATTTCTGCTAGTCCCATATAGTCTATAACTTTCATCTGCCATTCTTCCACGGTGGGTAATTCTTCTGTCTTCCATGAGAGAAGCGTAACTTGACCGGGTCGTGGGAGACAACAACACGAAGCATCCTCTGTGGGTGTCAGACAGATGTGAACGGCTAAGGGAGCTGGGCATGTTTAGCCTGGAGAAGAGGAGGTTAAGGGGGTGATATGATAGCCATGTTCAAATATATAAAAGGATGTCACATAGAGGAGGGAGAAAGGTTGTTTTCTGCTGCTCCAGAGAAGTGGACACGGAGCAATCATAGGCGCCGACTCCATGGGGCTTGAGGGGGCTCGAGCCCCCTCAAAAAATTTTTTGGGGGGGCTCAGCCCCCCCAATAATCTCGGGCGCCGGGGGCGGGGGCTCCTGCCTCGCTGCTTCGCAGCACCACCGCCACTGCCAAGGCACTGCCGGGGGGAATTTCCTTCCTCCTGGCGGTTTCAGCCCCCGCGAGAACAGGGGAATCCCGACTGGCCACACCTCCCAGCCAGCCAATTGGCTGGCTGGGGGGGCGTGGCTTGCCCTATTTAGGGCCGGAGCCACTTTATTTGCATATTCATGAGCTTATTTATTATTCATGAGCTTTCCCGGGCCCCCCCCAATATTTTTTATAAGTCCGCGTCCCTGGGAGCAATGGATCCAAACTACAAGAAAGAAGATTCCACCTAAACATTAGGAAGAACTTCCTGACAGTAAGAGCTGTTCGACAGTGGAATTTGCTGCCAAGGAGTGTGGTGGAGTCTCCTTCTTTGGAGGTCTTTAAGCAGAGGCTTGACAACCATATGTCAGGAGTGCTCTGATGGTGTTTCCTGCTTGGCAGGGGGTTGGACTCGATGGCCCTTGGGGTCTCTTCCAACTCTATGATTCTATGAACAGAACATCCCAGCGTCAGCGGCACCAGGACCTGCTAGTCCCACCTCTTGTCCCCAAAGTGGGCCAGAGGGCTCTAAGAACCTAGGACCAGGGCTTTTTCTGGGGGTACCCAGGGGTACATGTACCCCTAAACATTTTGTGAATCTTTGTGCTTTTGTCCATTTATTGTATTTATTTTTCCTGATTTGAACTTTAAAAGGGTGATTTTCTTGAAACAAAATGAGAGCACTCCTAAACATTTTTTTAGGGCGGGGGAAGCACTGCCTAGGCCTCTAGAGAGACTGCTTCTGGGCCTGGGGCCAGAAGAGGTTGGCTTCTGGATCAGGCCAAAGGAGGCGCATCTGGTTCTCACAGTGTCCAGGCAGAAGCCCCAAACTGGGAAGCCCAGAAGCGTAACTGCAGCAACCCCCTTGCACTTCCCAGCAGATGATATTCCCAGGTATACTGCCTCCAACAGGGGAGGGAGGAGACTAGGAGCCGTTGATGCTCTCTGTTGGCATGCAACCAAGGAAAGGGGGGCAATTGACAGGCCCCCAGCTGGCTCCAGATGATCTCCAGTCCTTGGTGCAGCATCTGCGACCTGAGCTTCAGAAGATGGGGCAGGCTACTCAGCAGAGTAAACATTACACAACAGAAGTAGCAGGAGAAGTTGTGTGAGCATATTTGCAAACAGTTTATTCAGCATGCAGCAGGACAAAAGGAAAACATGTCCAATCTCCTTGGTGTACAAGCAAGACAGCAAAAGCAAAAGCTATACACATACAGAAGTTCCCAGCAAGCTGTGCTGGACTGTAAACAGACATGTGACATGCAACAATTCCACACGTCTGTTCTGAAGGTGGAACGGAATATCCTCACACTATCCTCCATTTATGAGAGCCCTGCCTGTGTGCAGGATTGCAGGTTAAAGGTATAGGGACCCCTGACCATCATGTCCAGCCGTGGCCGACTCTGGGGTTGCGGCACTCATCTCGCTTTACTGGCTGAGGGAGCCGGCGTACAGCTTCCGGGTCATGTGGCCAGCAGGACTAAGCCGCTTCTGGCGAACCAGAGCAGTACACGGAAACGCCATTTACCTTCCCGCCGGAGTGGTACCTATTTATCTACTTGCACTTTGACCTGCTTTCGAACTGCTGGACACTTCTGATTGGCAAGTCCTAGGCTCTGTGGTTTAACCCACAGCGCCACCCGTGTCCCATGTTCCCCGGACTCTCGCCTGGCGCCCTCCAGAACTTGGCGTCCTGGTGTCCCTGCTACTAGCCTCAATGGGTAAGATGGGCCCGTCTTCAAATATCTCAAGGGCTGCCCCACGGAAATCAGAGCGGGCTTGTTCTCTCCCGAAGGCAGGACCCAAACCAAGAGATTCAAATAGCAAGGCAGGAGACTCCAATTAAGCATTAGGAAGAATTTTCTGAGGGCAGGAGCTGTCCAACAGTGGAACAAAGTCCCTCATTGGGCTCTCCTTCCTTGGAGGTTTCTAAGCAGAGGGTGGACGGCCGTCTGTCATCACATGGATGCTTTAGATGTGATTCCTCCATTGCGGGGATTTGGAGCAGAAGACCCTCATAGCCCCTAGGATTCAACCGTTCTATGAAAGGGGTGTGAGGAGATGGGGGACTTGGCTGTGCCCCCTAGGTTCCCCCCCTAACTCCTCCCCATTTTGAAACGGCTTATCAGCTCATGTGCCTCCTCCCTCAGTTGCTTTGCAAGCCTATCTAACGTCCGCCCCCCAGTGCCCCCCCCAAAAAAACCCAGGTTGCTGAAACGCTCTGGTCAATTTCTCAACCTGGTTCCTGTTGATGGTGCGTGAATCTCATCCTCTCCAAATTCCCTTTCTTCCCTCTTCTCTCTCTCCTCTCCAAGGCGCAGACAGTCCTGCAGCGACCCACGCTGAATTAGACCCCAAAGATGTGGGGCACTCGGTCAGTCTTCCTGTCGTGATTCCAAAAGGGACCATTTTCTCGGGTCTCATGTTGAGGTCTGTCGGCCCACCCAGCAAGGCCATCGCTATGTGGGAGCAAGGGAAGCCCGTCACGGTCCTAGACCCGAGGTATTCCGAAAGGGTGTCTTTCCTGGAGGAGGAACCTGCCTTCCAAATCCACAACCTCACCTTGGAAGACGGAGGAGGCTATGACATTTCGACGCTCACCCAGGAAGGCTCCAAGACGCTGAACCACTACACGCTCTTCGTCTTCCGTAAGTAACTTCTAAGAACTGCAAATTCAAGCGCCTCCCATGCACATTTGAAGGCCCCCCCCCCAAGAATCCTGGGAACCACAGTTCCCCACCCAGAGAGCTACAGCTCCTAGCACATTGAATGAACTACGGTTCCCAGGATTCTTGGAGCGGGAAGTTATGCACTTTGAACGAGCTAGAGACGTATTTATTTATTTCATTATTTCATATGTACACCACTTGAATATTTTTAAAAAAGACAAGGAAATCAAGGAAAAATCACAGCAATACTTTAAAACATAAAACGGTTAAAATACTAAAGCAGATAGGTTCATAAATGTATGGTAGGGCTGTGGCCTTAGTTCAAGGCAGAGAATTTGAACTTAATAGTAAAAGGGCACAGGCTGCTATCAGCTCAACGAAGAATGCCTGACTGGCATGTTCTCTCCCTCCTGGTCCTTCGTTCGGGAGCTTCAAAAGCTTTCTTCAGCCCGAACATCACAGCGACCGATGCCAACAGACACCGGCACACTCAGGGATCCGCAGAGTTTGTGCATTTCGCGTGACAGACCTCAGCAACTCAGCATTTTGGCTAATCTACTTTATTTGCATCTAAACACACACAGAGCACTGCAACATGGCTCCCTCTCTCTCTAGCATCAGATAGCAAAGAGAAAAAGAACAAAGGACAATAGTCCCACTTCACGGAACATAGTAACACAAATATCCTGTCTCCGTCACTTCCCACTCGGTGGAGTCAAAACATACACCGTCATGTGATAGACAACAATCCCATGACTGCAATCACGGAGCAGGAATTCTAACACCCCCGCAGGGCAGGCTCTCCATCGGGGGGCCGTCTGGCAAGGATGCCTTAGCAGCGATCGCTGCACTGCAGGAAGTTAGACTACATGACCCTTGGTAACTCAACGATTCTGTGACTAATCAAAGCCGTGTCTGGTAGCTACTAAGTTCAGGAGTTTTCCAAGAAATTGTCAGTTCCTCAACCGAGAAGTTACAGCAAACTCAAGAAGGGAAGAAAGTTGGGTGGCTGCTTTTAGTTTAAAATGTTGCAACAGCAGCTAAAATTATCCTTCTTCAGCAGATCTTATTTGCTAGATGCAACTGTCAAACTTTGAAGCAAAGCGAGGGCAGGCACCCAGTTGCTTGCTTGGCAAGAACGTACGTAACCCTGACAAAAAAGGGGTTTAAAATGTCCTGGTTGTCAGGCTGCAGTTCAGTGGTAGAGCAGGCACTTCACGTCCAGATGGCCCCAGGTTCCCTTCTCCATGGCATCTTGGGGAAAAGACTCCTGCCTGAAATGTTGAAAAGTGGCGAGTGGCCACTCTCAGCGAGGTGTCTTCACCCTTTCCAGACCCAGGACTTGTGAGAATGATGTGGATAGCAGGAGAGGATATATTGGTTCTATATTATCCTTCCTCATTCACGTTAGTGAGTCAGTAGCAGAGTACATTCCCCACTATATAGCAGGGAGATTCATTTGGTAGATTCATTTGAACCTCTGTTGTTCCTGGTAAATTCCTGGTGTTTTGTTTTTCCTGGTAAATTCCCCTTTTAAAGGGACCCCTGACCATTAGGTCCAGACGTGGCCGACTCTGGGGTTGCGACGCTCATCTCGCTTTATTGGCCGAGGGAGCTGGTGTACAGCTTCTGGGTCATGTGGCCAGCATGACTAAGCCGCTTCTGGCGAACCAGAGCAGCACACGGAAACGCCATTTACCTTCCCGCTGGAGCGGTACCTATTTATCTACTTGCACTTTGACGTGCTTTCGAACTGCAAGGTTGGCAGGAGCAGGGACCGAGCAACGGGAGCTCACCCCGTCGCGGGGATTCGAACCGCCGACCTTCTGATCGGCAAGCCCTAGGCTCTGGTTTAACCCACAGCGCTACCCGTGTCCCAAAATTCCCCTTTTATTCCCTCTTAAAAAGAATAAAGACACAACTGTCTTCCCTTAAAAGTAACAAGGTTTACTTACATTCAGTTCACGGTATGATCCTGAAGGCAGGCTTTAGCTTGTAGTTACAGATACAGAGAAAGGTGTGGGTTCATCCCCTTGTGAGGAATGAGCCCATGCGCGGCTGGCTGAGAGCCAGCAGACAGCAACAGCATCCAGAGAAGGAGAAGGGTCTCAAGAGAGCAGATGGCTGTGGGACCGGTCCTTTTATGGGGTCTGCCAGGGTCCCGCCCATCTACCTGTTCACACGCAGAGGGAGGATGCTCCAGACCAGGTGTCACAGGAAGTTATACTGGCTAGAGAAACATCCACTCTGGGCAAACAGGAAATGTTGAACTTGACTGCTACGGTGATGTTACATCCCACAGGACCCCCTTTCCAGCTAACATGCACCTGGGGACCCATTTCCTTAAGCCTTTTACCAGACCTTGTAGGACTCATGCAACACCTTGGCGGCTAATATACACACAATAATTACCAAAATGATTACACATTCTTTATCAATCTTCTGAGAAAAATACAAGACCTTATGCAAAGCCACAGAGACTTGCGAACTACCCAACCTAAGATGAACTTAGAATGTCTGATTTCAATAGATTTTTCAAGTGCTTAGCTCAGTCTTTTGTTTTCTTTATCTTCACAATACCCAGAGATACCAGTGAAGTTGTAGATAGATGTTAATGAAGTTGCAGACATTAACATCCATCTACAACTTCACTAGCATCTCTTGGTATTGTGAACAACACCGAACGTACCTTTTCTTGGTATCTTCATGAACTTACCGAAAAAGATAAAGAAAACAAAAGACTAAGCTAAGCACTTGAAAAATCTATTGAAATCAGACATTATAAGTTCATCTTAGGTTTGCAAGTCTCTGTGGCTTTGCATAAGGTCTTGTATTTTTCTCAGAAGATTGATAAAGAATGCATAATCATTTTGGTAATTATTGTGTGTATATTAGCCGCCAACGTATTGCACGAGTTGTACTACTCCTATCAGCAGCACAGGTGGCATTTTTCTAGCGTTATTGTTTTTGCCAAACCTTGGCAGAGCCCACGCTGGATCCGGCCACGACCTGCCTCTGAGTCCGCCACCTTCCCGGGGAGTCTGTTCCACAGTCAAGCTGCTCTTCACACCAGGAACTTCCTAATGTTTAGTCTGGATCTCCTTTCTTGAGATTTGAATCCGTTGGTTCGGGCCCTGCCCTCTGGGGCTGCGGCAGGTTGCAAGGTGGCTGCACCTTCTGAGAGTGGAAGATGGCTGCGATTTCTTGACCCTGTCCCCCCTCTTGCTCACCCCTTCCCTCCCTCCCGTTTCAGACATCAACATCACGGGAGAAAGGCTGCCCAACAGCTCCTGCAACCTCAATTTGCTGTGTGAGGCTGGAGCTGGAGCCAAAGTTCGGGTGACCTACTCCTGGAAGAATACAATAACGGGGGACACGGCTTCTGACAATGCCAGGCTGCACCTCACCTTGAACGCCAAGAACAAAGATGACTCTTACACCTGCTCCGCGCAGGCCTTGGGGACTCAGAAAGCTTGGGAGGTCTTCCCCTATGCTTCATGCCCTCAATCTGCAGCTGCAGGTGAGTAATATTTCGATTTATTTCCCGCCCGTTGCCATCACGTCCTGCAGTGGTTCAGAAGACCAAAGACGGGCACCGTAGCCTGTGATCGGTCAGTCCATTTTATTGTTGTTTAGTTGTTTAGTGGTGTCCGCCTCTTCGTGACCCCCTGGACCAGAGCACGCCAGGCACTCCTGTCTTCCACTGTCTCCCGCAGTTTGGTCAAAGTCATGCTGGTAGCTTTGAGAACACTGTCCCACCATCTCGTCCTCCATCGTCCCCTTCTCCTTGTGCCCTCCATCTTTCCCAACATCAGGGTCTTTTCCAGGGAGGCTTCTCTTCTCATGAGGTGACCAAAGTCTTGGAGCCTCAGCTTCATTATCTGTCCTTCCAGTGAGCACTCAGGGCAGATTTCCTTCAGAATGGAGAGGTTTGATCTTCTTGCAGTTCATGGGACTCTCAAGAGTCTCCTCCAGCACCAGAATTCAAAAGCATCCATTCTTCGGCAATCAGCCTTCTTGATGGTCCAGCTCTCACTTCCATACATCAATCAGTTTTATTGCACATAGCCAAAGGTTGCCGCAATGTACACAGGATCATTCAACAATTAAAAGAAAATATGGTGGATTAATACAAAAAACTTAAAACATTTATATTATCAAGACATTGCCTACTCTAAACAGAGCTATAAAGGTAAAGGTACCCCTGCCCATACGGGCCAGTCTTGACAGACTCTAGGGTTGTGCGCTCATCTCACTCTATAGGCCGGGGGCCAGCGCTGTCCGCAGACACTTCCGGGTCACGTGGCCAGCGTGACAAGCTGCATCTGGCGAGCCAGTGCAGCACACGGAACGCCGTTTACCTTCCCGCTATAAAGCGGTACCTATTTATCTACTTGCACTTAAGGGTGCTTTCGAACTGCTAGGTGGGCAGGAGCTGGGACCGAACGACGGGAGCTCACCCCGCCGCGGGGATTCGAACCGCCGACCATGCTATCGGCAAGTCCTAGGCGCTGAGGTTTTACCCACAGCACCACAAGTACCTTAATATACAGGTTAAGACATTAAACAATTAACATTTATAGGCTAAAATCACCACATAGCCACTAATATATTAAAAAATAATGTTAATTAATACAATGTGCAATCATATTCAGAGTTTGGTGATAAAGATAGAATATAGCTAGATGTAGGTAGGGTCAAATATATTCATCTCCTTTACAGCTGGTGGCTATCTTGGCTATATAATTTGCTCTAGTTTTCCTAGCAGTGGTTGCAGAGTGCTACAGGCCAGGTCACATACTTATCTGTGTCTGCGAGGAGATATAAAATCATGTCAGAGGGGTTCTGGCCAGGGGACCTTGTCATTATAGGTGCTAAAAATCGTTCTCTCGCTTCATTATATAAGAGGCAGCAAAAGATATAATGCATAAGGTCCTCTACTTCAGGACATCCCCTAATGCAAACACGTTCGTTTGTTGGTCTGCCTCTGTGTCTCCCATCTCTATAAAGGTAAAGGTAAAGGTACCCCTGCCCGTACGGGCCAGTCTTGACAGACTCTGGGGTTGTGCGCCCATCTCACTCAAGAGGCCAGGGGCCAGCGCTGTCCGGAGACACTTCCGGGTCACGTGGCCAGCGTGACATCGCTGCTCTGGCAAGCCAGAGCCGCACACGGAAACGCCGTTTACCTTCCCGCTATAAAGCGGTCCCTATTTATCTACTTGCACCCTGGAGTGCTTTCGAACTGCTAGGTTGGCAGGCGCTGGGACCGAGCAACGGGAGCGCACCCCACCGCGGGGATTCGAACCGCCGACCTTTCGATCGGCAAGCCCTAGGCGCTGAGGCTTTTACCCACAGCACCAACCGCGTCCACCATCTCTATAAGCAGAGTTTATTGTATTTAATCGTAAAAGCTTTCCCAAGTTGTACAAAAGTCAGTTCATTGAAATAAGGTGTATGTTCGTGGGCCTCTCTAAGTCTGAAATATAATGGGGCGCATGTGGATGTGTACATAGAGTTTAGGTCGTTTTTAGTTGCCACTGCCCTTATGGTTCGTTAGACAATATTTTTCTAGGAATATAAGGGAGGTTCTTTGATCTCGGTCACTGAGAGGTCCTATTTGCCCATAAGTTGGGCAGTGTGATGTACCCAGTTTTTAAGGGGTAATCCATTCGAGACTGTAGCTTGTGATAGAAAGGACAGGAGGTCACCTCCGAAAGGATGTTGCAGAATTGGGGAAGGTTCAGATAAGGACAAGCGGAAGGGTCACCAGGATGGAGCATCTCCCTGTGAGGAATGGTCGCAGCCTTTGGGGCTTTTTAGATTAGAGGAAAGTGGGGGTGAATAAAACAAGGCACAGCCTTGAGAAAGTGGTAGAGAAAAGCTTTTATCCCTCTCTCATAGTTGATGGGCGTCTGATGAGGCTGGATGTTGGAAGATTTAGGACAGCACATTGTTAATGTCAGTTTGCATTTCTTAGTGCAAAAAGTGTTGATCTGACGTACTGATCTTTCGTGTTCTATTCTAATTCATTCAAGGGGGTTCTGGAAGCTTCTCTGTGTGAAAGAAGCAAGCAGAAGGTTCATGAGGTTTGGGTTATTCCTTCAGAGAAGCTGAGCACAGCTGGCTTAGACTGGTTCTATTATCTCTTTCTGTCAAGGTCATGCTGATTATAATAATAAGGCCAGAAGGAGCCTCGGTTTCACTTTCTGTCTCTCTTTCCTTCTGGTCTGGTGTTCTGAACAAAGTGTTAAGGTTTAGTCTTATTATAAGTTACTGTAAGTTTATGCTAAATCTGCTGCAACTGGATTTCTTATGGGCAGTGCCAATCCTGAATGTACAGTGGATGCTCGGGTTGCAAACGTGATCCATGCGGGATGCACATTTGCAACCCGCAGCATCCGCAACCCGCAGTGCCGCGTCTGCGCATGCTTGGGTCACGATTCAGCACATGCGCAAGCGCCGAAACCCGGAAGTAACCTGTTCCAGTACTTCTGGGTTTGGCACAGTGCGCAACCCGAAATCGCGCAACCCGAAGTGTCTGTAACCCGAGGTATGACTGTATTGGGTTTGTGACCATTATGCTCATTTGCCTTCAGTAGCAGTAAAGCTCTGCTGGATGAAATATGAATTGCCTCTGGTCTATTTGGGGGAAATCCTGCAACATGTTTGTTACGGAAAAATCTAGGTGTGAGGCTGCTCAGTCCCCCAGCTGGTTGGGCAGAGCCCGCGGGTCCCTGCGGAAGAAAGGAAGGAGTCCAGCCAACCGGAGCAAATAGCTGTAGACCAAAGTTTATTGCGCAACAGGTTCAAAGAGGAAAGTTGAACCCTGAGGATGGGGTGACAAAGACTTTTAAAACTTTCCCACCATATCCCAGAATACAGTTCACACAGCATCATTGCTACATCACTGACATGTCACAAAAGGGGAGTGGTTAACCTTGGCAAACGTGCTCAGACAAGTCCTTGGTACAAGAATAGCATAAGCAGACATGGCAGGGCAGGGCAAGACTCAGGTATAAGATTAGAATAGACAAATATGTCTGAAGTGCCCACCACCCAAAAGTACAATAGAAGTTCCTTTGCATGTCTGGAGCCTGAGGCAAGTCAGGTGAGGAGATTTGGCTTCCTTCGGAGCCCAGCAGTTGTCACCTCTGGGAACTTCCTGGAGTCCTTTTGCAAAGGGAAATTAGCTTTGGAATGGGGGGGAACTGGGAAAGGAGATGATTTTATATTATTTTTAAAGCTAGGTGACTTCCCTGAGCTGTCAAGGTGAAAGGATACATTCAGGCATAATATTTGTAACATTTAACTTTAAAGATGTGCCCCCCTGTAATTGTAATAATAATAATAATAATAATAATAATAATAATAATAATAATAATTTTTTATTTATACCCCGCCCTCCCCAGCCAAGGCCAGGCTCAGGGCGGCTAACAAGCAATAATAAAAACACGTTGAATGATTACAACTTAAAACAAAATTAAAATACAACATTAAAATATTAAAATACCTCATTAAAATGCCTCATCGCAGGAGGAGAAGGAAAAGTGTAACAGTGTTTAAGTTGTTACTCTGCTAACTATGCATTGGAATCTGCTCTGGATCAATACCGAGTAGTATTTCAGTGACAGTTAAACAGTGGAACTCTCTGCCACAGGAGGCAGGAAGGCCCACCAACATTTAAAGGAGGATTGGACAAATTAATGGAGGAGGGGGCTATCAGGGGAGGGGAGACGGCTGCCAGCCACCATGAATCTGCTCTGTCTCCACCGTCGGAAGCAGTTGAACACCCGTTGCTGGAAACTACCGGAGGGGAGAGTTGCTCTGGCGCCCGGATCCTGCTTGTGGGTTCCTGCAGGATGCTGGGCTAGATGGGCCATTGGCCTGATTCTTATGCACTCCCCCTCTCTCTGATGGGCACCCCTTGACTCCCCCAGAATATTGTTGTGCTACAACTTCCATCATCCCTGTTAATGGAGAAATCTGAGGGCTCCCTTGGACAGAAAACGAGGACCCCAGCCAGGAATACCAGAGCAAAACAGCAGCCAGTCGGCTTGGTCTTGACTGAAGACTGTCGTGACAGGACTCCCACCTGCCACAAGGTGGAACAAGATGGAAGCCCCCAACAAAAGAGAACCCAAACTTTTATTGGCTGCTCATCCCCATGTCACACACACCCCAAACTACATCACTCATACATCATGGTTACATCATGAAAGGGGAGGTATGGCGGCCGTAATCTGAGCATCCTGGACCCTGCCCCATGGTTCCCCTTGCCCTCCACCAAACACCCATCAAGTGAAACAAAAGAGATATTTACATTTCTCTGTTTCTCAGCCAAGTTCATCCCACCCTTTTGTCTTCATCTGGGTTTGTTATTTCTGGAACGGCTACCTGTCTGGCACTCAGGTATCAGGAGGCCAGGGATTATCCCTCAGGCAGAGGGGCGGCTGAGGAGCTGAGCTCACAGGTCTATAGGAATTTCTGGAGTTTTCCTGTGAGCCAGTACATAGAGACATTGATCAGTGAATTCATACATTTGGTATTGTGCAGCAGAGGCCCTTTGAATGGATAGGAAGAAACTGTGATGAAGCGTTTTGTGGGGACAAATCACAAAAGTCTCAAAAGTGATGGTGCTGATTTTGGTAGTGGGCTGCATGTGCAGGATATCTGCTGGAGGGGCAACCCCCCCCCAACCTATACATAAATTCCTGCAACATCCCCAAGAGGTGAGGGTGGAGAAAGTGGGGTCGCTTTGCGTTATAACTTGAATCTGTTTAGCCCAGGAGCCGAGGTCTGGTGCAATTCAAGTTACAAATCACAGCCTGGGCTGCACCTCCAGATGAGCTGATATGCAGACAAGCTAAAGAGAGACCATCAATGGCCAGAAATATTTTTGAGATTTCCACATCTCATCAAAATAATAATAACAACAATCCTATCCTGTTGGAGCATCTGGAATCTAAACTACGCAGCAAATATGTGAAATAATCAAGCTTGCCAAATGAACATTATTATTTCCCCTTTTTGGAGAATAGCGCATTTGTCAGCTGGGTTGAGACGATGGCGTCATTTCTGAACTGCGCCGGAGCAAATGTTCCCTCTCCAGAACCCTTTTAGCCGTTCCCCTGCATTATGCATTGCAATTCATTATTTGGTATTCATCCATTCTTTTTGAAGTCATTTAAGTCATTATTTGCCTAACCCCTGGAACAGGGGGAGGCTGTTGGAGAGAGAAAGCAAAAAGGTAATTATATCTGCCATGCCAAGCAAGCATGTATGTGGCGCCTGGCGGCTTCTGCGAGGTTTATTTTAATTTATTCATTTCATTTAGAACCAGCTCATTCTGAAAGCCATAGGTGGCCCCAACTCCATGGGAAAGTATTTACGGGTTGGGATGCGGGTACCTGGATGAAGAGCCTTTTCTCACACGTCCTCTGAGCTGAATTCTCCCGGGGGGGGGGTGCTTTTCCTGATTGCCATCCCTCTCCCCTCTGAAGTTCAATGGGTGGGGAAATAATACTGAGATGGTCCTTTTGGGGGTGTTGTGCTCCCCATCCCACCCCCAAATAATATATAATAATAATAGATTACTTATACCCTGCCCACTCTGTAGGGCTTCCAACAAGAGATTAAAAATACATTAAAACCTCAGTCATTAAAAACTTCCCTAAACAGGGCTGCCTTCAGTTGTCTTCTAAAAGTAAAATAGATGTTTATTTCCTTGACATCTGCTAGGAGGGCGTTCCACAGCTCAGGTGCCACCACCGAGAAGGCCCTCTGCCTGATTCCCTGTAACTTGGCTTCTCGTAGCGAGGGAACCGCCAGAAGGCCCTCGGCGCTGGACCTCAGCGTCCGGGCAGAACGATGGGGAGGAGACGCTCCTTCAGGTATACTGGACTGAGGCCGTTTAGGATTTTAAAGGTCAGCACCAACACTTTGAATTGTGCTCAGAAACGTACTGGGAGCCAATGTAGGTCTTTCAGGACTGGTGTTATATGGTCTCGGCTGCCGCCCCCAGTTCCCAGTCTGGCTGCCGCATTCTGGATTAATTGTAGTTTCCGGGTCACCTTGAAAGGTACCCAACCCACTAAGGAGGATAATGACGCAATACAGTGGTACCTCGGGTTACAGATGCTTCAGGTTACAGACACTTCAGGTTACAGACTCTGCTAACCCAGAAATATTACCTCAGGTTAAGAACTTTGCTTCAGGGTGAGAACAGAAATCGTGTGGCAGCAGCAGGAGGCCCCATTAGCTAAAGTGGTGCTTCAGGTTAAGAACGGACCTCCGGAACGAATTAAGTTCTTTACCCGAGGTACCACTGTACAAAACAGTGACCATTAATTGCACATTCCCCCCCCCCAAAGCCAATTAATTCAGCCAAATGGATGAATCTGATCCAGTGAGACAGGTGTTTCCAAGTCTGATATTCCTTTGCGCCTCCACCTGCTCCTGCTCCATCTAGTCCAGCCTCCTCTTCTCACAGTGCTCAACCCGATGCCTGTGCGAAACCCACGGGCAGGATCTGAGTGTGAGAGCAACTCTCTCCCCTCCTGTGGTTCCCAGCCAATGGCACTCAGAAGCATCGCAGAGCCATCATGGCTGGGAGCCCCCGAGAGCCCTCTCCTCCTCCCGGAATTTGTCCCATCCTCTTTGAAATATACTCGGAGTTGAGAGTGGATTTCATGCTCTTTATTCAGCTCATAGTGGTGAGGAGGAATGGAAGTTCCCCCAGGATGTCTGCTTTATATACATTATTTAGAATAGAATAGAATAGAATAGAATAGATTCTTTATTGTCATTACACAAGTGCAACATTGCACAAAGTGCAACGAAATTGGATGCCATCCCTTAAAACAACAAAAGCAAAACAACAACAACAACCAAACAAACCACATTCCAGCCACACCCACACCAACACCCATCAAACTCCCAGGTCACACTATCGAGTTACAGCATTCAAAAAGGCCACAGCTCTTGGATAGAAACTGTTTTTCAGTCTATTTGTCTTTGACTTGATGTTTCTATATCTCCTGCCAGAAGGCAGTAGTGCAAACAGACTGTGTCCCGGGTGAGATGAATCCTGCAGGATGTTATTTGCTTTCCTAAGACAACGGGAACCGTACAGTTCTTCCAAAGATGGGAGAGGATGACCAATAATCCTTTGGGCTGTGGTTATGACCTTCTGGAGCACCTTCCTCTCCCTAGCTGTACAACTGGAGAACCAAGCACAAATACAGTATGTAAGAATGCTCTCTATGGAGTCTCGGTAGAAGGACACCAGCAGTCACTCACTCAGATTGTTCTTCTTTAAAAGTCTGAGGAAATAAATTCTCTGCTGGGCCTTCTTCACCAGAGCAGTGGTATGTGCGCTCCAAGTCATGCCCTGATCGATAGTTACTCCCAAAAACCTGAATTCCGCCACCCTCTCCACCCGTTCCCCGTTGATATACAAGGGCTGAATGTCCGCCTTTTTTTTCCTGTAATCCACCACCAATTCCTTGGTCTTAGCCGTATTAAGAGCCAGATTGTTCTCTCCACACCAAACACAGAGCCGCTCCACCTCGTCCCGATAGGCGGACTCATCCCCTCCTGAAATGAGCCCTACCACCGTAGTGTCATCAGCAAACTTGATGATTTTGTTGCTGGAATAGATGGCTGTACAGTCATACGTATAGAGAGCATAGAGCAGGGGACTCAACACACAACCCTGTGGTGAGCCGGTGTTAAGGCTAAGGGCTGTGGACATATGTGACCCTACTCTAACCCTCTGAGAACGTTCTGACAAAAAATCCAAAACCCAGAGACAGGTGGAGTTGGAGAGTCCAATCGCCTCTAGCTTGGACACCAGTCTATGGGGGAGGATAGTGTTAAAAGCAGAGCTAAAATCCACAAACAGCAGCCTCACATAACTCCCCGGCTGCTCCAGATGGGACAGAGCAGCATGGAGAGTGGTATTGATGGCGTCTTCTGTGGATCTATTTGCTCTGTATGCAAACTGGTAGTTGTCAAAAGTTGATGGAAGACAGGAAATAATGTGACGGCGCACCAGTTTCTCAAAACACTTCATGATGATTGGAGTCAGTGCAACTGGTCTGTAGTCATTCAAACTACTGATTGTGGATTTTTTAGGCAGAGGGACAATAGTTGACGACTTCAGGCAGGGTGGGACAATAGACTGTTGTAAGGACTTATTGAAGATCTTAGTAAAGACCCTCGCCAGCTGATCCGCACAGCCCTTCAACACCTTTCCAGTGATGCCATCAGGTCCAGCCGCCTTCCTCGGATTCGCCATCCTCAATACCTGTCTCACCTCATGTTCCTCTACCGTGAATGAGGGGCCCCTATGGGCTGGTGGCTGTAATACCGGCGTCTCAGGTGGCTCCTGAGACAATGGGCCCCACGTGATTGGCTAATTCCGGGATTCTCCTGTAGGCCAATCAGGTTGCGGATTCACTTCCACCTGGAGTTGGATTGGGTGGCTCCTGCGGACCAATCAGACTGCTGCATTCTGGATCCTATTGTTCTAGGACCAATCAGACTGCTGCATTCTGGATCCTATTGTTCTAGGACCAATCAGACTGCTGCATTCTGGATCCTATTGTTCTAGGACCAATCAGACTGCAGCATTCTGGATCCTATTGTTCTAGGACCAATCAGACTGCAGCATTCTGGATCCTATTGTTCTAGGACCAATCAGACTGCTGCATTCTGAATCCTATTGTTCTAGGACCAATCAGACTGCTGCATTCTGAATCCTATTGTTCTAGGACCAATCAGACTGCTGCATTCTGGATCCTATTGTTCTAGGACCAATCAGACTGCAGCATTCTGAATCCTATTGTTCTAGGACCAATCAGACTGCTGCATTCTGAATCCTATTGTTCTAGGACCAATCAGACTGCTGCATTCTGGATCCTATTGTTCTAGGACCAATCAGGCTGCTGCCTTTTGGATCCTATTCAACTCAGTACATGACACTCTTTTAAAGCCATCCAGGTCGGTGGCCATCGCTGCCTCCATTTAATTGGGAACATCTCCCCCTTTTTGTCTTTGCAGGACTTTTTGCGGCCGGCCTGTTCTTCTTCCACGTTGCCAGAGCTGTTTTGGCACCTGCCCTCATCACCATCTTCATGCTCCTGTGAATAGCCAGTGGCTCTGCAGCTGCTTCCTGAGCGAAGTGTGGAAATCCAGCCGCCGCCTCTCGTTTTCCAGTGCTCCCACTTCTCGTCCGCCCCTTGCTCTGGTTCCCCTTTGCAGTCAAACCTCGGTTGTCGAACGTAATCCGCTCCAGAAGGCCGTTCGACTTACGACTGGGTGCAAGAAGTTCTTGCACTCAAGCGGAAGGTGCGTTGGACGTTCGGGTTCCGAAAAACGTTTGTAAACCAGAGCATTTACTTCCCGGTTTTTGGCGAAACGTTTGAAAACGGAGCCGTTTGAGAACCAAGGTTTGACTGTATCAGGAAATGAGAGAGAGAGAGAGAAGAAGAAGTCTGAATTAACATTTGCTAATTATTCCCCGTGATCAAGCTGGTTCCTCCCACCATTCCTCTGCACCCAACCAGTCCCTGGCAGGGAGACACACCTCAAGATCTGCTGAGATTCCTGCACTGAAGGGGGTTGGACTAGATGACCCCTGGGTTCCCTTCCAGCTCTGCAATTCTGTGATTCACGCATGCTTCGGTGTTCCCAGGCATCACATTCCTACTTCCCAGTGCTGATCCTCTGAAACCACTGCCTCAATTTTGTCCCTAACCAAAGACCTCGGTATAAGGATGCTTCCTAGGTTCCTATTTAAATCATCCCTTTGTGGAGAACCATGAGGACTAGCGTCTTATTTTTAGAACAAAGGCTGTAGCTCAGCGGTACAAGAAGCTGAAGGCTCCATGTTTGACCCTCAACAGCATCTCTAGCTAGGGCTGGTCTGGAACCCCAGAAAGCCATTGCTGGTCAGGGTGGACCAACCTTCCCCAACCTGGTGCCCTCAAACTGGTGCTAAACTGCAGGCTGCTGGGATCCTTCCTCAGGGTTCAATCCCACGGCAGGCAGGGGGGCAAGGGTTGGCAGGCCTGGGCATCCTACGAGGACCCACATCCCCGCAGTTGGCATGGGTGGAAACGATCAGTCCATTCCACTCTTCTCAGTTTCTTCAGTCTTAAATTCAGTTCTCTGCTTTCCTTGCAGCAATTTGCCATTTTATTTCTTGAAAATCTTCATGGAAATTGGCCTGCCTTTCAATGTGAATTCCTCCTAACGGAGGCTGTATTAAACTAAAATACCTGGGTTTGGGGGGGTGTCCCCAACCCCCCCAGCCATTCTTGCATGTTATTTCCCTGCTACAATATGTTAACATGAAAGAACCCTTTCCCTTAATAGATGCTTCTTCTGTGGGTGTGGTTTTTTTTTGGGGGGGGGTGTAAAATATTCTTCGGTTGGAGAACTGCATTGCAAAATTCAGATCAGTTTGGGTTTTGAAAGATGGGTGTGTTTTGGTTCTTGTACAATTTCAGAGTGTGCTAATTTCACCAGTTTGACTTTTCCTTGCTGCTTCTCTGTGCAGCAAGCAAGCGGGGGCAGCAGGAATAATGAAAACAAGGAGGGGGCGAAAATAGCATCAATGAGGGGGGAGGTAGGATCACCAAAAGCCCTGCAAAACCCTGGCACAGGCTCTGTTCAGCCCATTTGGTTTGCATGCAGAAGGTTCAAGGTTCGATCCCGGCGACATCTCAAACCTCAGAGAGCCACTGCTGGCCGGTGCAGTCCAGACTTCTCCAACGTGGTGCCCCCAGGATTCTCCTCGACTCCGCAGATCCCGTCAGCCCCAGCCAGCACAACCGACAGCAGAGTGTGATGGGGATGGTAGCCAGAAACATCTGGATGGAACAAGAATCTGGAATCCTTTCATTGCGACTCCCGCGTCACGGGGGTTGGGCTAGATGACCTTTGGGGGGTCCCTTCCAGCTCTACGATTCTGAGATGTGGCGAGGGAACTCGAGGGGCACCTCTTCTTAGGTTTCCCTAAGGGGTTTCATCCACAACCCTGGCAGTGTTGTGAGCTAAGTCAGTCCTCCTGGGCTGTTTGTGGATGTGGGGGGTGTTGCAGGAATTTATGTCTAGGTTGTGGGGGAGTTGCCCCTCCAGCAGATCTCATGCACGTGCAGCCCACTACCGAAACCAGCTCCATTGCTTTTGTGATTTGTCCCCACAAAACGCTTCATCACAGTTTCTTCAAAGGGCCTCTGCTGCACGATACCAAATGTAAGAATTCACTGATCAATGGATCTGTGTACTGGCTCACTGGGAAAACGTCAGAAATCCATATAGACATGTGAGCTCAGCTCCTCAGCAGCCCCTCTGCCTGAAGCCCCTGGCCTCCTGATACCTGAGTGCCAGACAGGTAGCCGTTCCAGAAAGAGCAAACCCAGATGAAGACAAACGGGTGTGATGAACTTGGCTGGGAAACAGGGAAATGTAAAGATCTTTTTTGTTCCACTTGATGGGTGTTTGGTGGAGGGCAAGGGGAACCATGGGGCAGGGTCCAGGATGCTCAGATTACGGCCACCAGACTTCCCCTTTCATGATGTAACCATGATGTAGTTTGGGGTGTGTGTAACATGGGGATTAGCAGCTAATAAAAGTTTGGGTTCTCTTTTGTTGGGGGCTTCCATCTTGTTCCACCTTGTGGCAGGTGCGAGTCCTGTCACGCGACAGTCTTCAATCAAGACCAAGCCGACTGGCTGCTCTTTTGCTCTGGTATTCCTGGCTGGTGTCCTTGTTTTTTGTCCAAGGGAGTCCTCCGTTAACAGGGGGACCAGGGATTTGTCATTGTCTGTTAATAACTCCGGCTTGAATAACGAACTCTAACCTGTCAACTATCAAGAGGTTAGGCCTCAAAACCTAGCAGAACAAACATCGCCCGCTAGTGGAGGAAAACTAAAAGAAATCCCGGATCCTAAGCAATCAACTTCCTACAAGACACCTCAAGGAAACCCTATATACTCAAATCTACCCAAAAAGGCTCACGACAAAAGAGCCCCAAACAGTCGGAATTTAATCCTAATCAAACACAAACTTGTCTTCCCACCCCTCTCAAATACAGAGGCTTCCCCACGCTTGCACAATGGAGAGCCAATATTCTCAAGAAAACCAACTTAGCCATTAGAGGCCTCGTCTCAGCAAAGAATATTCTCAATGTAAAATTTCTCTCATTTGACAAGGTCCAAAATAGAGCCGTGGTGACCGTTAGGGACTGGTCTCCAACCAAACAAATTTTAGCCAATAAAGACAAGCTCCAAAGGGCTGGTGATCCATCTTTTCAAAGATTTCAGTGACCCTTCACCACTCATAGAAACACACAAGTTTGTTAGACTAAAAACAAAACTGGAAAAGTCTAACACTGCAGAGAATTGCAAGCCGCCACAACCAGAAGCATAGGGACATGGGTGGCGCTGTGGGTTAAACCACAGAGCCTAGGACTTGCCGATCAGAAGGTCGGCGGTTCGAATCCCCGCAATGACGGGATGAGCTCCCGTTGCTCCGTCCCTGCTCCTGCCAACCTAGCAGTTCGAAAGCACATCAAGTGCAAGTAGATAAATAGGTACCACTCTGGCAGGAAGGTAAACGGCGTTTCCGTGTGCTGCTCTGGTTCGCCAGAAGCGGCTTGGTCATGCTGGCCACATTACCCGGAAGCTGTATGCCGGCTCCCTCGGCCAATAAAGCGAGATGAGCGCCGCAACCCCAGAGTCGGCCACGACTGGACCTAATGGTCAGGGGTCCCTTTACCTTTATAGCCAGAAGCAGACAAAGTCCTCAAACAGATGGTTAAGCTTCAAAATAACCTTATCCTCTTCTTTCGAACCAAAAAAAGATATCCTCAACTCTAGTTTCCTGCTTGGCAGGGGGTTGGACTCGATGGCCCTTGTGGTCTCTTCCAACTCTATGATTCTATGATTCTAACCTGTCCAGCAGGTGGCAGCAATAAGCTGTGTTGGGTTCTGAAAGAGGTTTTTTTCTTCCCTTAATGTGATTTCTTTCAATGGCAGGGCATATCCCACAGGGGAAAGGAGTCTGTGAGTGTGTCTGTGGGGAGGAAGGGATCATGATGACCCAGCCTGATGAGGAACAGTCGAGGGAGTTGGGGATGTTTAGCCTGGAGAAGGAAGACTGAGAGGTGACAAGAGAACCGTCTTCAAACACCTGAAGATGGAGCAAGCTTGTTTTCTGCAGCTCCACAGCGGGAGACCTGAAGCGATGGACAGAAAGGGATGAGGAAGGAGATTCCGGCTCAACACAAGCAAGAACTTTCTGATGGTAAGAGCCATCAGACAGCAGTACAGACTCCCTCTCCTTCCTTGGGAGTTGTTTTTTTTTTTTAAAGATATTTATTAAAATTTTCAAAGTATTACAAAATGAAAAAAGAAAAAAGAAAAATACAAAATAAAAATAGTTAAAAAACAATTCCATCTTTCCATCACTTATCTTTCATTTGCTTGTTTCCCGGACCTCCTCACACCTCCCTTTTTTGTATTCCAATTCAATTTATTAGTTCAGCAAATCCTTTCCCTCTTTGTTTATCCTAGTCTTTAATCTTAAAATATTGTAACATTAAATTTTTACCTGTTAATAATCCATTCTTCCTTGGGAGTTTTTCAATGCAGGTGGGATGGCCATCTGCCAGGGCTTCTTGAGCCGTCATTCCTGCATCGCAGAGGGTTGGACTACATGACTCTTGGAGTTCCCTTCCAACAACTCTCTGATTCTAGGATGGGAAAAGGGGATGTCTGCCTTGTTGTGTGAATGAGCGTCTGGGAAGTCAAGGCCCTGGGGGGCATCCCTTGAGCTCCTGAATTGCTCAGATGGCTGGACAAGGAGGAAACAGGTTGGGAATGCAGTCCTTTGGCACTTTGGCCAGTGTGGTGTAGTGGTTAAGAGCAGTGGACTCGTAATCTGGTGAACCGGGTTTGCTTCCCCGCTCCTCCACATGCAGCTGTTGAGTGACCTTGGGCTAGTCACACTTCTTTGAGGTCTCTCAGCCCCACTCACCCCACAGAGTGTTTGTTGTGGGGGAGGAAGGGAAAGGAGAATGTGAGCCACTTTGAGACTCCTTAGGGTAGTGATAAAGCAGGATATCAAATCCAAACTCTTCTTCTTCTCAAGGGGGCCCAAAAGTTCTCCCCTGGGCTGGATCAGATGAAGGCAGGAGCTGGTGCCTCAATGGTGTAGCGATTCAGGTTGCAAAATGTCGGGAGGGGCAGGGGGGCACCCTTGGATCATGGCCCTCCTCTGCTGTGACTGAGTTCGTGGACCTCCTCTGTCCATCCTATGCGGAACAAGGCTCCGTGTGTGTGTAGGGTGCTGTTTTGTGGTGCCACCATTGGCACACTTTTATCAAGATATGGCAACCAGCTCTTCCAGTGCTTTTTCCCCCCCTGGAATAAAAGTTGGGGGAACTCGCCTGTTTTCTGCAGCTCCAGAGTGGAGGACAGGATGGATTCGAGTTGCAAGAAGGCAGAGGCTGACTAACACCAAGAAACAAAATAAAAAAATTCCTTCCAGTAGCACCTTAGAGACCAACTAAGTTTGTTATTGTGATACACACACACACACCCCAATATATAATATGTTATTGTTATACTGTATACCAATAACAAACTTAGTTGGTCTCTAAGGTGCTACTGGAAGGAATTTTTTTATTTTGTTCCGACTACAGCAGACCAACACGGCTACCTACCTGTAACATTAAGAAGAACCTCCTAATGCATCTTCTTTCTTTCTTTCTTTCTTTCTTTCTTTCTTTCTTTCTTTCTTTCTTTCTTTCTTTCTCTCTCTCTCTCTCTCTCTCTCTCTCTCTCTCTCTCTCTCTCTGTCAGTGATGCGCTAAGTGGTGGCTCTCATTCCATCCCCTGGATGTTGGCAGGCAGTTGAGGAGTCTCCAGAAATGATATTTAGCCCAGACACTTTGGGTCCCCCCAGGACTCTCAGTCACAACTTTGCAAGAGACATTAGGCAGCTCTGGGCTGCGCTGGGAACTGGAGAAGGATTTGATTTCTCTCTCACACACACTCTTGCCCAGGAGGGAATCCCAGGCTGTGAGGGATGTTGGCCCCTCAGCTGTCAGAGTCTGAGTCTGAGTTCCCAAGTTCCCAGCATTGCAGTCAGGCAGCATTTTGCCTCTCTCTTGAAGGACCACATGAGCAAAAAGGAAGCCTGTAAATCAGTCAAGCAGCATTCAACGGATCAATCAATCGTCTTATTTGTATGCCGCCTTTCCAAAGTTAAAACCCTGCTCAAGGCAGCTTGCAACACACTTTTTAAAAGTGCAACCATAACAAAAGTAGTCATAAACCATAAACGAGACATCCAAACGACCAAATTGAAC